TCAAAAAGTGGAGAGCAGAAAATCAAAAGACTCGATCTGTAGAAAGAACAAATCATCCATTCCTGTTGAAACGGAAGCTGAAAAAGGTTTCAATGTCTTTTAAATGTGTGTCTGAGCAGGAAGCAGGAAGCAGGAAGCCATCATGACCCAGGCTGAAGGAAAGCAGCAGATGTGCAGAACATTTTAAAAACAAAGTCTGACGACTTCTTTTGCTCCCTTTGTTCACAGCTTTCTTCCCATTGAAAATAAACCAGGTGCTGATTGATGCTAGCTGCTATTTCCTAATTAAGACTTTAGGGCTGAAACAATTAATTGGATTAATCTCACATTCAATTCTATTCAGTTTATTTCTATAGCTCCAATTCACATCATGTCATCTCAGGTCACTTTATAGATATAAAACAACCAGATCATCCAGTCAGATTGATTCAAAGTTTTCTATCTAAGGAAAACCAGCTGATTGCATCGACTCATTGACTCTTCAGCAATCCCTCACACTAAGCATGCTTGTAGCGACAGTGGAGAGGAAAAACTCCCTTTGAACAGGAAGAAACCTCCAGCAGAACCAGGCTCAGTGTGAGCGGCCATCTGCTGAGGCCCACTGGGGTTCAAGGAGACAGAAGCAGACATAGAAAAAGAAGCATAGATACAAAAGGCAACTGTCAACCAGCTCCACAGGCGGCCCCGTCCAGGAAACACACAGCCAGGCAGACGAGCTCCGAGCCAGCTCCCATGTCAGAGGATGAAGAGAGCACATCCAGTTAGTCACAGTCAGAGAAACAGGACTACACTGGAAAACAGAGACTGTAAATATGCCTCTAGCTGACAGTGTAATGATTATTTAAAAATGGTAAAAATATTTATATAAATAAATATATATATATATATATATATATATATATATATATATATATATATATATATAAAAAACACTTTCTGCATTCAAGATAAAAAAAATGTTTTTGTCCGTCAATCTGCTCTATCCAGAAAGTGGAAAGGTTTGAGTTTCATCTGGCTTAATGTGTAAAAAAATCTTTGGCTATCCGATTATTAATTGAAAAAATAATCGACAGAATAACTGATTTGCAAAATAATCGTTTGTTGCAGCCCTCGCAGACCAAGGCTGAAAGAACAGGAACTCCACTAAAGTGTGTTAAATTAACTTCAGTCAAAGTGCAGTTCCTCCTCTATAGTGTCTCCAGGTGCAAAGACCCGACAGCGTGAAGCAAACGGGTCATAGAGCCACATCAGAAACCATCCAGGCCAAACCTACCACCAGCTGATAGCTGCTGGTTTCATTCAACACGCCTCCTGCCTGATGATGCGTCTGGTTAGGAAGGCAGAAAAAATTAAAAAATCAAGTTTGGGCGAATGTCTGGACAGAAACAGGAAACATGACCTAATAACAGCTTCATTTCCAGCCGGTGCTAAAGCAGAGCCTCTATGGAGGAGCTTTGTCTTCATGAAAGTCAGATTAACTGTAGAACTAAAGCTGAGATTAAACATATAAGCTGGGATGAGTTATGGCTGCTGGTGAGAAAATCCCAGTCCGGCTGCTTGAGATATAAACACAATAAGACGGCTGAGCTGACAGAGTTCAAACAGGAAACGGTTCACCATCCAGGCCTTCCTCTGTGTCAGACCTGTAGAAGTAGGTCGTCTCTGATCTTAGTGGTGAATGAAGAGTTCTACCCAGTCATCAGCACAGCTTCTGCACTGGGAGCTCTAAGCCAACCAGTTCAACCATCAACAGTCATTCAGTACCAACCACTGCAGACCTGGATGCTCGGTGAGTCCTTAGGCTAACAGTGGGGGGGGGGGTGATGAGAACACGTAAACAGGAAAGGTATAAAAATATAAATCTTGTGTTGAACGAACAAACTGATGCTGGAGATTGCTGCGTTCTGAACATTGCTGATGATTGCATCACTCCGCAATAAAAGAAGGTATTTAAAATATTGTTTTTGAATGGAAACCTGTTTAAATGTCTGAAAAATAATAATACAGAATCATAATGTTATATTGGAAATGATACCTTTTTCATCTTAACAAGTACGACGTTTCCAGAGAAGGTAAGTTTGTTTCTAAACTGGTAGTTTGAACCTTGAGAACTCCACCAGCAGAGCTACTGGTTTAGAGTATTTCTGAGGGGATTGATGGGCTAGAGGTTAGAGCAGCGCTCTGTGCTCTGGGAAGGATGCAGTACCACAGCTGGCCACTATGGGTCCCTGAGCAAGACCACTGCTCCCCGAGGAGATGGGTTAGATGCAGAGAGGGAATTTCTCCAATGTGAGATCAATAAAGTTCAATTAATATTATTAGGTAAGATTTATTTTTCCATCTTAGTAGAATTAGAGCCAACCCATTAAATCTGGTTAATGTTTGTGATCTCCTCCTCCATTCTAGATGTGATTAATCTATCTGTTACAGGGATATATACCAAAGGCTCTTGGTCAATTATAGACCTATATCCAATCTTCCTTTCTGATCTGATATCTTGATTAAGCAGTTTGTGTCCGACCACTTCCACCATAATGAACTTTTTGAAGAGTTTCAGTCTGGCTTTAGAGCTCATCATAGCACTGAAACAGCTCTGGTGAAAGTCACTAATGATATTCTCATGGCCTGGTTCTGCTGGAGGTTTCTTCCTGTTCAAAGGGAGTTTTTCCTCTCCACTGTCGCTACAAGCATGCTTAGTGTGAGGGATTGATGAAGAGTCAATGAGTCGATGCAATCAGCTGGTTTTCCTTAGATAGAAAACTTTGAATCAATCTGACTGGATGATCTGGTGAACTGGAAAGTGACCTGATGTGAATTGGAGCTATAGAAATAGACTAAATACAATGGAATTGGCCTCAGTCTATGCAGCAGAAACAATGACCAGTCCTATGCTGTGGTTGCTGAGCTTTTCCAGTAAAATAAAAACATGTCCTTTTTATCCTAAAGCAGTTTAATGAGAGCTAACTTTAAATGCTGCAGTAAATAAACTGGGAATACTTCCTTCAAAGCTTCACATAGAGAGACCATGACGTTACATTTCTAACGGCGTGTTCTTTAGAGGCCATTTTAAATATTGTACAGCTCCCCCTGCTCCATTAACAAGGCAGTGAGCGCTGAGGGCATCCTGTTCAGAGATGAAATGATCAAACTGTGACCTCTTCTGCCTCCAGGGTGTTTTTAGGTGAGCAGTGAAAGTAGCTGTAGGGCGGCGGCAGCAGGAAGCAATCTGAGGGCGACTGTGACCATGCGGTAGTACATCTGATGACCTCAGCTTTCCCCCAAACTTCAACAGAAAACGATAATCCTAAAATCCCAAACAGGCTGTAGGACAGACTGTCCACACAAACTGATGATGCGTCTCAACGCTGCCGCCGGTTCCTCCTCAGGACCCGTCCACCCGTCCGCCACAGACATGAGTGGAAAAGCGGCAGGTTGTTCATCACTTGCTGAGATCACCATCACTCCCTCCCTCACTGACCCCCAGGGAAATCTAAATACCTAAGATCTGCTTTTAAAGCCCAGATGGTAGCTGGAGGGTGATGTCATGAGGCTCTGCATCCTGAATGGCATCGACCTTCAACCAGGAGGAGCAGAGCTCTGATGTTCACACCTTCAGCCCCCATCAGAGCAGAGCACCGTTAGAGCGCACCGCTCACAACCACAGATCCATTTCAGTCACATTTCTGTTCATTTCAATCACTTTGGCCTAAAGCTCAGAGTCCCTAAAAACAAAATAATGATGAATTAGAGGAAGGCTTATTAATGCAGAGGCATTAGCTTTATGCTACGTTCAGACCGATAGCATCAGAGGCAGCAGCAGCAGCTGGTTTCCATGTAAAGTCAATGGTTGATGCGAATCCAGGTGCAGCAGAAGGTCCTGCAGCATCTAGAGCAGCGGCGCCTCATGAGCATCTGAGGAGCTTCAGAAGCAGCAGCTGCTGGAGGTGGAAAAATTGAACTTTCTCTGCTGGACGCGCCGCATCAACCAATGAGAGAAGCTGATCTGGGAGCTGGCAGGGAGTCAGACGCAGCACTGCTGATGCAGAGCGCTATGATCACTCCTCTGAAACAGTTTATTAACGCCTAAATTAACTTCAAATGTAGAAACCTGCCGGCAGAATATGTTGGCTTTTATTATCCTGCTGCCTGCAGTTTGTAGCACAGACCTGAAAAACGCTAACATCTACTTCTAGCCGCCAAAAAACAAACAGCCATCGACGAAAAGAAAAACCTGACAACAAATTTTCATTGTCGATAATCTTTACTAATAGCGGCAGAACTAAGAAAAATCCAGAAAAGCAACAGGGATCATCCCAGCCTGAAGACAAGATGACCCACAGGAGAGCTGATGGCGAGTCCAGAGGACGGAGTGGAGCCTCAGGAGGACCTGAGCAGAAACCACGCTGGACTCCTAACTGATCCAAGATCTTCTTGAAGGTAAAGTCAGCAGGATTTGGATCAGAGTCTGAAGGGAAAGAGGCGCCCGGTTTCCAGTCAGGCAGGATTTTAGACGCCATCTTGTTTTATCAATCCAAGGTCAGTGCAGACATCCACCAGGACAGCAGCGGCACTTTTTCCTTCTACTGACGGGGTTTAATAAGGAGATGCTGCTTTCCTTCTTTAGCTGCACCTCTGACATCTGCTGTGGAGGTCAGGGAACCTAGGAACTATGAGGAGAACCTGAAGACCAAACCAAGCAGTTCTCAGTCCTCAGCAGCGCTCCAGCTGACTGCCTCCATGTAACTAAAGCAGACGCTCATCAGAAGGAGACCAGAGCAGCTACTGAGGCACACTTTGCCTCCAGGACTCCGTCAAAGCTGTTCAAATCTCAACATCAACACTGACCGGCGGTCAGAGTCGACATCAGCCTCTATTCCTCCCGAGTCACATCCATGCAGGGAGCATTCAGAATGTGGGACTTGTTCCAAAGCTGATCTCTTAAGTTTAGGATTGGTTTAAGTTTCCAAATAATGACTAAGCTGAGATGGTGTGTGTCTTACCTGTGTTTGCTGTGGTGCTGTTGAAGAACCGGGCGGTGTCCTCCATCACTCTCAGCTGATTCCCATTCCCAGAGGGCCACAGAGTCTCTTCAGCCGACAGCGCCGTGTGGGATCCTCCCTGAAAGCTGGACCAGCTCCCCACATCCGAGGAGAAGCTCGGCCTCTCCGCCTGCGGAGGCTCCGCTGAGGCCGGCTTGGAGGGCGAGGACTTGCTAACTGCCCGGGACGACACTGGTTTAGACTCCTCATCGCTGTCGAAGCCGAACGGGTCGTCCTGGCCATCTGCGGAGGGGCGGGGCTTCTTGTAAACCTCCAGGACCGAGTCGTTCCTGGGAGCGCCGGCTCGCTTGGAGCCCACCTTGGCCTTATAGGTGGTGTCTCCCCATTTGGTACTGAGGGTGCCTTTTTTGGTGGACAGGACCTCATCAAACTTGGACGTGCCCTCCCCTCCCTTGCGGCTGTAGGTTTTCCCAAATCTGGACGTCATTGTTGCATCTGGTTCATGTTCTCTGAAAAAAATAAACAATGAAATTAGTCTTCTCTTACATTTCAGAGCACATCTTCTTTATTTGTATTTTTTTAAGTTTAAAAATTGTTTCATCAACTTAAATATATGAGAAAAAAACATTTCTGAGCTCATTTAACAGAAATTCAATGACCCAGATTAACTTTATTCATTAGAATAATCAGACTTAGAACGTAGTCTCTAACTGGGCTTCCTTAGATCCTAATGTTTAGAACCAAGCTCATCTCCTCCTAAATATGATCAATGTGAACAGGTTTATGCATAGAGTGGATTCATTTACAAACACAACAAAGTTAAAAAAGCAGCATTAGTGTCAAAGATCCAAATATATTTTTGACCTGATATTTTCAGTCCCTCAGATAATGAAGGAATCTTTCCTCTCTGCCTTCATGGCTGCAGGTGATCTGATAGTTTTACTAAATAATAAAACCTTTTAAATGATCTTCCTCTCTGCAGGAACTTGGTCTAATAAACCTCCAGGCTGTGATGGGCATCACAAGTTCACACCGACTCACCATCACCCTGCTCACTATCTGCTGCTTCTAGATCACTGGGAATTAGTGAAATTGTGATTAGCTTTATTTTTGTCGTGTTTTGTTTATTTTGACGTTTCCTTTAAATTATTTTAAAACCATTTAATTTAATGGTTAGACTAATGTGCCTTCTTACCAAAACATTTAAAGAAGAATGGCAGTTCTATCAATGTCCGAAGTTATCTCCAACCGTTAACTAGTTTAGCCGTTAGCTTAGCATACACCTAGCTCCGGGTTAGCCGGAGCTAGTCCCAAGCTAACAGTTAATAAAAGCTAGAAACCGACATTTAAACGCTCACAAGTCCTACAAAAACACAGTTAGAGACTCGGAAGTACCGGCGGAGTCCGGACTTACTGGCTGAGCTAAAGAGCCGAACAGCATCCGTCCCAGAGCGGAGCCCAATGGGCCGTTAGCAGCGGCAGCAGCGGCGCCGGGCCTGCTGCTTCCCTCACCGACCTGATCACTATAAACAAGGCCGAACAGCGGCGGCTACCGGCGGGTCACCGGCTCCCAGACAGGCGGGGGAGAACGGAGGCTCCGGGCCGAGGCGGGAAAACCAGATTTATATTAACATTAACTGAATGTGTCAAGATTTATCAGCTTAAATCTCACTCGATTGTCTTCTCCACTTTACGACGAAGGCTTCCATTGGACCCCCCCCCCACCGCGTAAAGATTGAATTGAAACAACCGGAAATGGATGACCTTGGCATGTCAAAATAAAAGTGCTAACACCCGGAGGGCACCCAACTGTTTTACTTTCAAATATTTGGAATTAGAGTTAATTTTAGAAATATATTTCAATCTTACTTTGCTTATTTACATGCTAGTCAATAAACCATTCTAGTCATTGTTACTCATTTACAATTTAGTAAAAATATTATTTTATTTCTTAAACTAGACCGGAACTTGTCTACGTTTTGTGGTCATCACATCACATTTATAGCAAAGAATGCTGCGTTTAAGACACGTCCTTGAACTCGGAAAATGTACATTTATAATTTCACAACCAGTAAAAAAGATAAAGAAATTATGTAAAAATTAAAAATAAATGAATATGATGGAAAACGTTACTGTTTAATTTTAAAAGCCATAAATATGTATTAATTTGTCTTATGAGTAAATTTCGAAAACTTATCCACACATTTCCAACATACCTTAAACTAATCTGAAAAGTCTGCTTTGAGATGAGCTTGAAACTGGTATTGGTTTTTCTTTAAATCTTACATTTTTCTGTTAGATTTTTCTTTCCTCCCATGCAGAGATGGATTTAGGAAATGTGGGGCCCTAGGCGAAGACAGGCAGGGGGCCCCTCTGAACTGAGAAGACACCAAACAGCCCCATTCTCCAGATAGAGAAATGTTAATAGAATAGACATCCATTATCTGTTCTAGGTTGTGTCCCTCTCTTCTTGTCCCTTTTCTTCTTGTTTTCCTCTCTATGTTTTGTACTCAGCTGACTTTTCATGCTGTCTCTAAAGGAATGAAAGATTTTTTCCAAGCACTAAGCTCACTTAGCTGATTGCTCCTTCCTGTGTTTCCAAAAAGGCCAAAGTAAATAACCCAGTCCTTCTTTTCACTGTAGACAAGCCATGATCTGCTTATCTGTTCTCCATTTTTCATTTGGATGAAATAATAGCTGCATGAATCATGACAGCAGACAAGATAGAGGAGAGCAGGAGGCGGGGTTACCAATCTACTCGCTCTGGAGAGCAGAGTTCGCTGCTTTTAGATGTTGTCTCCAAAGTCTCCAGTAGCAGAAAAAAGTCTCTAGATTTGGCGCTAGGAGCTTTTTAGAAATCAAAGTGCTAGAGGGGTCTGAAAAGTGGCTAAATATAGCGACTAAAGCGACACAATTCTCTCCTCCTCAATGTTGAGTCTCATTTTATGTTTCCTATCAACAATGAAAAACACCATCTGTGTGTATAGCTGCTCCTTGTCATTCTAAATCGGGACCTGTCAGAGTACAAGAGTTTGTTCACTGCAAAAATGATCTAGAAATAAGTCAAAATGTCTTAAATTAGGTATATGTACCCTTAATTTGAGCAGGTGCTAATATGCACTTGAAATAAGACAATGCAATTGTTTTTTTATTAGTTAAAATGTAAATTGTCTCGTTCCATTGGCAAAGTCCTTTCCTCCTCAATTCAAGGAAAAACTAGGAAAAAAGCACTTATTTTGATCTGGATTTTTGCTCCTTTCTATGGCTGTCTGGTTCTGGGGGAGGCAGTCAGTCCTGCTGCCAACAAACTTTGATATTTGAACCTCAGATGCAGCATTGATTGCAGAGCGTTGCGCCTCGCCAGGACTGGCATACCGCACCGCTTCCATGCCAACATCAGCCGTCAGACCGATGTTACTGTACCATGATGGGGTTCATTATCCTGACAAGAAGAAATAGATCTGTGTTTTTCACAGCTTTGCCAAAGGCTCCCTGAGTCGGAGCTGTTTGTCGGGATCCTGGCAAAGCTTTGCGGTGGCACCTGGAGGGCCTCGGCATCATGCAGAGAACAAGAAAGAACGGACGCAGTGGCGGCTTTCAACACTGGCAGAGCCTTCTGTGAAAACAATTAGGCTTTTGACATTCAGCAGATAGAAGAATGATGTCTGGCAAATAAAAAGTGACAGGAAGCTACATGGCTTCCCAGAGCAAGCAACGCCACAAAGACGAAGGTTCAGAGAGGAAACAGGCCTCTGGTGGGGTGGACTTTAGCCCTCATGATGTAAACACAAAACACTATCATCTGCATATAAACATATCTCCCATTCCTTTCACGACCAAATGAAAACATTTCTGCAACAGTTTCTTCCCCAACTGAAATGATTTAATGATGCATCAGAATTCTGGAGCGAAACAAGCAAAGAACAGCTGCTCTAAGTCACTGCATGTTCTAGACTGAGAAAAAAAAACACATGAAAAACCTGTGAAAGTTTAAAGAACAACTCAGAAAAAAAACATTTCAAATTAGTAACATGCTAGCTTGGATCACTGGAGGTAAAATACGTATCAGAACGGTTGAACTCATTCTTCCAGACGTAGCGGATAACTTATGCGCAGAATAAACCTCTAACCTCTAATGCTGTCTTCTAAAACAGTGATATTCCAAGTAAAATGTACTTTTGTCCTTGACACAGAGCAACGCTTGAAGCAGACACTAAGCATGACCTCTGAGGCTGCAGGAAACTCCAGGACTGATTTCTCATTAAGAAGGCCGACAGAACGGTGTTACCACCAGAGCAAAGCTTGTTTAACTCTGGCAGCAGGTAGGTGTAGATGCAGTTGTCCATGTTATGATGGTTTGGGATTTCTGCAGAAGGAGCAATAAGAATATAGGATATCCAACATTTCTGCTCCTGAACAGTTCCCTGACAAAGACTCAGATAATATGGACTTGGAAAGCTCCTCATGTTCCCAGCAGAGTTCATCACCAGAGCACTGCAGCTTTATGTCCCCAGCGGGTCCCTAAGGTCCAGTAATCAGGGCCTGTTTTTTTTTCCCCTCAGTTTATTACTAAAAATTGAGAGGACAAAGCTTTTGTTCTTAATTGGTTCCAGGATCCAGAAATACTCTGAAATACTTTGGATTTGATCCTCTAATTTCTTAAAGATATTAATCTGCTGTTATTATATTTTATGGCATTATATTTGGGCAGGTCTTTATATCTTTACTAAACTGTGAACAAATAAACTTTTCTTAAATCGTTATAATTTTGCCAATTACATTGTCTAAAAAGTTGAAGGTTTTGTTGAGAAATAAAAATCTACAATTGTTGTGGTCATAAAATAAAAAAACTCACAGGCAAAAGTTTTTGCAATGACAAAAGAGAGACTGTGGTTTCTGCGTTCCACCACCAGATGTCAGTGTTCATCCAGACAGTTTAATCTGCATCCCTCCCTTCTCTGATTCCTGAACTTATTCCTTCTCTGATTGTTGTACTGATTCCTGCACTTATCCCTGCACTGACAGTAGACTCTTTAAAGGAATAGTACACCCAAAACATGATCAGCCTTCATTTTCTACTCACCCCCATGCTGAACAACACTCTGGAGTACTTTTTTGATATCTCAAATGCATCTGGAGATCTGGGAGGCTTCTTGCTGTCTGCTGACATTCGAATAATGGAGGTCTATGGCGCCCGAGGCAGAAAGGTCCATAAAAGTCCACAAAAAACGTGTCAATATTCCTCCATACTGCTCGTCCAATGTATTCCAAGTGTCCTGAGTGGGTAGCATCCAGAATTTACTCGAAACGAAGTCATTTAGAATGTTTTTAGAGCATAAACAGTAGTGTATAGGATTTCCTAAAAGCGCGTTCACGAGTCTACGGAAACCGCGGCAGACCAAACCAGATGAAAGTGCGCATTCAGCTCGGCAAAGAACTCATGCTCTTCCTCAACACTGAAGTCCTCAGACATTTTTATTTCGTTGTTTCTTTCTTTGCACAGGTAAACAGCACATTTCTTCTTCTACGCTTGCATTATCGGCAGAGCAGACGCTGAATGCGCACTTTCATCTGGTTTGGTCTGCCGGCTTCCGTAGCGTCCTGAACGCGCTGGCGCGCGCTTTCAGGAAATCCTATACACTACTGTTTATGCTCTAAAAACATTCTAAATGACTTTGTTTCAAGTAAATTCTGGATGCTACCCACTCAGGACACTTGGAATACATTGGACGAGCAGTATGGAGGAATGTTGACACGTTTTTTGTGGACTTTTATGGACCTTTCTGCCTCGGGCGCCATAGACCTCCATTATTTGAATGTCAGCAGACAGCAAGAAGCCTCCCAGATCTCCAGATGCATTTGAGATATCAAAAAAGTACTCCAGAGTGTTGTTCAGCATGGGGGTGAGTAGAAAATGAAGGCTAATCATGTTTTGGGTGTACTATTCCTTTAACAACAAACCCTGAGAACTTTATTAATTAACACATGAAAAGCAGGGACGCTGTCAATGCAAGGCAGGTTTAGTTCTATAGTACATTATATTAGAAAGACTTTAAATAGCAATAAATCCAACTCTAATTCCAAAGTGCTGTGCATCTGAAAACAATGGATAAAAGTATGTTGCAGCTGCATAGAGGCAACACAAAATATTTAAAGAGACTCAAAGTAAAATAAAATGATTAAGTCAGTTTAATATCAATCAAGCCAGAACGTTCGTCAGAAGGCTGAACAGGAACTGGTGGGGAGGTTCATCCTGCTCTGACCTGTTTATTCATTATAAATGTCAGAGCCCATCCACACTGAAAGTCACATGGTCTGCAACAATACACACCTACACACACTCATGGAAAACCCCGCGTTTGTTTGAAGCTGTAAACCAGATGCTGTTTCCTTTTGTTTCACTTCACACCAGTGAACTCTGACTGTGTCGGTGCAGATCCTTTCACACCAGATCAGCTCATGATTCAGTTCATCTGAGTCACTATCATTTCAGCTTTGCTCAGATTTGATTCCAGGTGTAAAACAAACAGGCAGGCAGACGGACAGCCAGGCAGACGGGCGGGCAGGCAGGTGGGCAGGCAGACGGACAGGCAGGCAGGCAGACGGACAGGCAGGCAGGCAGGCAGACGGACAGGCAGGCAGGCAGACGGACAGGCAGGCAGGCAGGCAGACGGACAGGCAGGCAGGCAGACGGACAGGCATGCAGACGGACAGGCAGGCAGACGGACAGGCAGGCAGGCGGGCAGGCAGGTGGGCAGGCAGACGGACAGGCAGGCAGGCAGACGGACCGATTCCCTGATATTTAGACTGATGGCTCCACACAGGATGACCCTGTTCCTTTAAAGACTGCATTTCCCATAATACATTGCAGAGCTAGAGGCATCAGGGCAACTTCAGATCATCAGGAAGCTGCTGCAAACATTTATCCTTCAAAATAAAAGCAGCAGCTGTTTTATTAAAGTTTATGGTTTTATTGTGTAATTTATGTTTGGAAAGAAGGTTTGTCAAAGACAAACGTTGTTTAATTTAATCAGGAAAGCTAACGCTGTTCAGAAAGCGCTGATGAATGAAGTTGCTAAAGATGGGAAGGAGGTGCTGGTTTAAGAGGAGCGATGGTCATCAGGGAGACGCAGTCTGTGGTTCAGGAATGCTGCATTCAGAGGGTTGATGGAGAAGTTTAGATGCAGTCAGAGGGAGAAGCTGCAGAAGTTGGATCAGAAAGCAGATGATGTTGCACCCAGAGAGGAACTGTGGTAGAATATGAGGAAGTATAAGTGAAGCGATGTGTGAGCTAAGTTTCACTGACAGCTTAGAGAAAATTAAAAGTACAGGAGAGGGTGTTGTTTTCCCAGGTGGATCATCTCATTCAGTGGTCCTCCTAACTGTCAATCATTCTGGTGATATGTTTCCATAAGGCCGTCCTACGCGCTCGTCCTCATTTCCAATGACCGCTGGTGAGTCTGACACAGAGGAAAATAAGCTTGTATGATGCAAACAGGAACTATTAAACAGAGCGTGCACGAGGAGAAATGGGCTTGTAAAGTACAGTATTTTATTGTTTATCTTTTAACTATCTTTATTTCTTAATGCTGACAAAACAAACATAATGTTTTTTAAATCATAGGAAGGTGCCCCAAACCCTGCCAGTCGGAGGGGAATGTCATTGAGGTGGAACATGAATATAAATACCTTAGAATTGGAATTGATGACTCCCTCACCTTCAAACCTTTTATTGAGAAACTTGTGAAGAAATTAAAAGTTAAACTGGGCTTCTTCTTTCCTAATAAGACATGTTTTTCTTTTGGAGTAAAAAGCGGCTTGTCTCTGCCACGCTTCTTCCTGTCTTCAAATGTTGGACTCTGTTTCCCATGCTTCATTAAGGTTCATCACTGATGACATCACTGTCACCTGTCCTCTCAGGTGGGATGGCCTTCCCTCTCTACCAGAAGGCAGTGTCATTGCTACACGTTTATTTCCGAGGCCCTTCTTGGATTACTGCCCTCTAACGTTTCTACCTTCCTTCCCCAGTAAAGCGCGGCTTCTTCTGCCTGAGATCCAACATCAGCTGCTGCTCTCTGCTCCTTTTGCCCGAACAGAACTGGGGGAGAAAGCCTTTAGCTACGCAGCTCCTTCTGGGGGGAATATTTTACAAAGAAACTGGAAGTTGACCGAGTTTTTATCTTTATATGCTTTTAAGTTGAAAGTGAGAGAATTTGAAGCAGCCTCAATCATCTGTAATTGTTTTACTTGATATGTTTTTTATGTACCTGTCATTTAATTTCATGTATCTCTGTTTATTATGTAATTATGTAAAAACTGATCGAATGAAAAGTTCCAGAAAAGAATTGAGACCAGAGGGGAGGTTCATTCAGAGGAACAGGAACACTGGGCACTAGAAATGTCAGGGAACCTAAACCTGAGAGGGAACCTAAACCTGAGTGGAACCTAAACCTGAGTGGAACCTAAACCTGTGGGGGAACCTAAACCTGAGAGGAAACCTAAACATGTGAGGGAACCTAAACCTGAGTGGAACCTAAACCTGTGGGGGAACCTAAACCTGTGGGGGAACCTAAACCTGAGAGGAAACCTAAACATGTTAGGGAACCTAAACCTGAGTGGAACCTATACCTGTGGGGGAACCTAAACCTATGAGGGAACCTAAACATGTGAGGGAACCTAAACCTGAGAGGAACCTAAACCTGAGAGGGAACCTAAACCTGTGGGGGAACTTAAACCTGAGAGGGAAACTAAATCTGAGAGGGAACCTAAACCTGTGGGGGAACCTAAACCTATGAGGGAACATAAACCTGAGAGGGAACCAAAACCTGAGAGGAACCTAAACCTGAGAGGGAACCTAAACCTGTGGGGGAACCTAAACCTGAGAGGGAACATAAACCTGAGAGGGAACCTAAACCTGTGGGGGAACCCAAACCTATGAGGGAACCTAAACCTGAGAGGGAACCTAAACCTATGAGGGAACATAAACCTGAGAGGGAACCTAAACCTGTGGGGGAACCCAAACCTATGAGGGAACCTAAACCTGAGAGGGAACCTAAACCTGTGGGGGAACCTAAACCTGAGAGGAACCTAAACCTGTGAGGGAACCTAAACCTGAGAGGGAACCTAAACCTGTGGGGGAACCTAAACCTGAGAGGAACCTAAACCTGAGAGGGAACCTAAACCTGTGAGGGAACCTAAACCTGAGAGGGAACCTAAACATGTGGGGGAACCTAAACCTGAGAGGGAACCTAAACCTGAGAGGGAACCTAAACATGTGGGGGAACCTAAACCTGAGAGGGAACCTAAACCTATGAGGGAACTTAACCTATGAGGGAACCTAAACCTGAGAGGGACCTTAAACTTATGAGGGAACCTAAACCTGTGTGGGAACCTAAACCTGAGAGGGAACCTAAACCTGTGAGGGGGGGGGTATGGGGGTCAGAGGTCAGTCAGGCAGATGAGGAGCTGGGATGGTTAATAATAATTGATCCCAGCATTCAACCCCTTCCCTTGGGGAGCAGTGGGCTGCCATTGTGTGGCTCCCAGGGAGCATTGTGGGGTTCAGGGTCTGGCTCAGGGACCCAGGGGCAGGCTGTGGGGGTGGGTCCTGAACTCTGAACCTCAGTCCCAGCTCTATGCTCTAACCATTAGCCTGCCACACTTTGATGACCGTAACTGACATTATTCATCATTTCCCCTTAATGTGTATATATTTTATCTCTTATTTTTTTAAATCTTTATTATATTGTGTAGTTGGATGTGTGTATATATATATATATATATATATATATATATATATATATATACATAAAACTGTAACTGGAGCGTGTAACAAAAGCAATTTCCCTCTGGGATTATTAAAGTATTTCTGTTTCTGATTAACAAATGAAATCCAGGTGTTTTATTTTGAAGTCCAGACGGAAATGACCTCGTTGCTTAATGTCTGCTTCAGGCTGCGTGTGTAAACCGGAAGTGGTAGCTGCCTTTTACCTTTAACTTGATGCTGCTGCCCAGACAGCCGGACTGGAGCCGGACTGAGCCGAACTACAGGTGAGTGAACCCGGTCCGGTCCGGTTTGGTTCGGTGGTTCTGAACAGGAGCAGAGAGATCAGGGTTCGGGCCGTGTTCGGCTCGGTGCGGCAGGCCTGGCTGGGTCCGGTTCGGTTCGGTTAGTTCCGGTCCGCTGATCAGCTGCTTTCTGTTGCTGCTTTATTCCATAATTTGTGAAATAATCCAACATGAAGGATTAGATTAGAGCATCTTCTGGGTCTGAGGGGACCTCCTCAACCACCAGCCAGGAGGAGCAGCAGGAGGAGCAGCAGGAGGAGCAGCAGGAGATCCCTGTGTTTATAGCGCTGCTGAGGGACGGTCTGGTCTGATAGGGGACAGTCTGGTCTGATAGGGGACAGTCTGGTCTGATAGGGGACAGTCTGGTCTGATAGGGGACAGTCTGGTCTGATGGGGGACGGTCTGGTCTGATAGGGGACAGTCTGGTCTGATGGGGGACGGTCTGGTCTGATAGGGGACAGTCTGGTCTGATGGGGGACAGTCTGGTCTGATAGGGGACAGTCTGGTCTGATGGGGGACAGTCTGGTCTGATGGGGGACAGTCTGGTCTCATAGGGGACAGTCTGGTCTGATGGGGGACAGTCTGGTCTGATAGGGGACAGTCTGGTCTGATAGGGGACAGTCTGGTCTGATGGGGGACGGTCTGGTCTGATAGGGGACAGTCTGGTCTGATGGGGGACAGTCTGGTCTGATGGGGGACAGTCTGGTCTCATAGGGGACAGTCTGGTCTGATAGGGGACAGTCTGGTCTGATGGGGGACGGTCTGGTCTGATGGGGGACAGTCTGGTCTGATAGGGGACAGTCTGGTCTGATGGGGGACAGTCTGGTCTGATAGGGGACAGTCTGGTCTGATAGGGGACAGTCTGGTCTGATGGGGGACAGTCTGGTCTCATAGGGGACAGTCTGGTCTGATAGGGGACAGTCTGGTCTGATGGGGGACAGTCTGGTCTGATGGGGGACAGTCTGGTCTGATAGGGGACAGTCTGGTCTGATGGGGGACAGTCTGGTCTGATAGGGGACAGTCTGGTCTGATAGGGGACAGTCTGGTCTGATGGGGGACAGTCTGGTCTCATAGGGGACAGTCTGGTCTGATGGGGGACAGTCTGGTCTGATAGGGGACAGTCTGGTCTGATAGGGGACAGTCTGGTCTGATGGGGGACGGTCTGGTCTGATGGGGGACAGTCTGGTCTGATAGGGGACGGTCTGGTCTGATAGGGGACAGTCTGGTCTGATAGGGGACAGTCTGGTCTGATAGGGGACAGTCTGGTCTGATAGGGGACAGTCTGGTCTGATGGGGGACAGTCTGGTCTGATGGGGGACAGTCTGGTCTCATAGGGGACAGTCTGGTCTGATAGGGGACAGTCTGGTCTGATGGGGGACGGTCTGGTCTGATGGGGGACAGTCTGGTCTGATGGGGGACAGTCTGGTCTGATAGGGGACAGTCTGGTCTGATAGGGGACAGTCTGGTCTGATGGGGGACAGTCTGGTCTCATAGGGGACAGTCTGGTCTGATAGGGGACAGTCTGGTCTGATGGGGGACAGTCTGGTCTGATAGGGGACGGTCTGGTCTGATAGGGGACAGTCTGGTCTGATGGGGGACAGTCTGGTCTCATAGGGGACAGTCTGGTCTGATAGGGGACGGTCTGGTCTGATGGGGGACGGTCTGGTCTGATGGGGGACAGTCTGGTCTGATAGGGGACGGTCTGGTCTGATAGGGGACAGTCTGGTCTGATAGGGGACAGTCTGGTCTGATAGGGGACAGACTGGTCTGATGGGGGACGGTCTGGTCTGATGGGGGACAGTCTGGTCTGATGGGGGACAGACTGGTCTGATGGGGGACGGTCTGGTCTGATGGGGGACGGTCTGGTCTGATGGGGACGGTCTGATCTGATGGGGGACAGACTGGTCTGATGGGGGACAGACTGGTCTGATGGGGGACGGTCTGGTCTGATGGGGGACGATCTGGTCTGATGGGGACGGTCTGATCTGATGGGGGACAGACTGGTCTGATGGGGGACGGTCTGGTCTGATGGGGGACGGTCTGGTCTGATAGGGGACGGTCTGGTCTGATGGGGACGGTCTGATCTGATGGGGACGGTCTGATCTGATGGGGGACAGACTGGTCTGATGGGGGACGGTCTGGTCTGATAGGGGACGGTCTGGTCTGATGGGGGACAGTCTGGTCTGATGGGGGACGGTCTGGTCTGATGGGGGACGGTCTGGTCTGATGGGGGACGGTCTGGTCTGATGGGGGACGGTCTGGTCTGATAGGGGACAGACTGGTCTGATAGGGGACGGTCTGGTCTGATAGGGGACGGTCTGGTCTGATGGGGACGGTCTGGTCTGATAGGGGACGGTCTGGTCTGATAGGGGACGGTCTGGTCTGATGGGGGACGGTCTGGTCTGATAGGGGACGGTCTGGTCTGATGGGGGACGGTCTGGTCTGATAGGGGACGGTCTGGTCTGATGGGGGACGGTCTGGTCTGATAGGGGACGGTCTGGTCTGATGGGGGACAGTCTGGTCTGATGGGGGACGGTCTGGTCTGATGGGGGACGGTCTGGTCTGATGGGGGACGGTCTGGTCTGATGGGGGACGGTCTGGTCTGATAGGGGACGGTCTGGTCTGATGGGGGACGGTCTGGTCTGATGGGGGACGGTCTGGTCTGATGGGGGACGGTCTGGTCTGATAGGGGACAGACTGGTCTGATAGGGGACGGTCTGGTCTGATGGGGACGGTCTGGTCTGATAGGGGACGGTCTGGTCTGAGCAATAATATTGTTATTGCTCATATTATTATTATTATTATTGTTTTAAAGTCTTAATTCCCTCTCTAAATGAGAACCTTATTGTTGTTTGATGCTGTAGCTCACATGTTGTTTACCTTCCGACCTGCCTAACTAGGGAGTACCAATATGGCGGCTGGTGACTTCACAGCCAGGTATACAGATGTCCTATCAGCCACCCAGTGGATAGAGATCAGTGGTCTGAGAGAGACGGAGAGACGATGCCAATCTAGAGCTGTTAGTCCTGAACTAGAAACAGATCATGTAGAACATCAGGGAGGCTGATCAGGTCTGGTTAATCTGCAGTAGAGAGGCGGAGCATTATGGGATGTTCAGATCCCACTATGATTAACTGGGCTGTTTATTAATCATCTCTATTCAGTTTATTTCTATAGCTCCATGTCACACCACCTCATAGATCCGTCTCAATCAGATCACCCAGCCAGTGACGTTCCAGGATTCTGGAAAGGGTAGAGACTGTAGACCTGCAGCAGGTCCAGACCCAGCAGAAGGTTCAGGCCCAGTTTGGATCTGATCAACGTCTGAAACGATGAGGTTTGGCTGTCAGAGAAAATCCCAGTAAAACCAGTACGCCGAAGCGGCTTTCCCAGTCCACTGATGGGCCAGAGGTAAACCCATCAACCCTTAGGAAGCCTGAAGGACTTCATTCCAGCAGACTGGGATCATCCCAGCCTGGGACTGGTCCCACTGGACGGACCAGGATCTCCGCTTTGTCAGGATCAGACATTAACCTCCTCTGCTGGGAACCAGAAGGTTCCTCGTTTTCTAGAACTTCATTCATCCAGAAACAGCGAAACGTTGCAGAAAATCAGTCTTTAAATAATGTCTACAAATATCTGACTTAAAATGTCCAGATTTCCAACATGAAACATCTGGATTCAGATAAAACACAGCAAACATCTTAACCCTTTATAGGGCGCTCAGTGAAATACTTTCAGTTCTATTCAGTTTATTTCTATAGCTCACACTAAGCATGCTTGTAGCGACAGTGGAGAGGAAAAACTCCCTTTGAACAGGAAGAAACCTCCATTAGAACCAGGCTCAGTGTGAGCGGCCATCTGCTGAGGCACACTGGGGTTCAAGGAGACAGAAGCAGACATAGAAAAAGAAGAATAGAATACTTTGAAAATCCAAATTTCCAGCCAATAGTCTTAGTGGAATCCAGGAAAAGACTTTATTTCCTTTGTAACATAAAAAAATCTGGATATTTTGATGGCAAATATTAATGTGATTGTAAGAACCAGAAACGCCAACCTCCCCGAATATATTGAGAAAAATAACAAAAGTTCTTCTATAAGAAATTTATGAAAAAAACTCTGAGTGAAAGAAAAACATTTTCTTTGGTCTAACATAACCTTAGAGGCGTTAATGCTGATACTAGCACTGACATTTTTTAGTTTATAAACCTAAATATAATTGTTAACGGGGCTTATTAACTTTTTACCTTTTTTACTTCTTTTTCCAGCTTCATTTCCAGCAGCTAATCTATCATTCAAAGGCTCCTCTAATTGGCCAAACGCCAGAATAAGATGTACAGCTATGTAGCAGGATCTATGCTGAATGGCTGGATATAGATCTGTGCTTCTAGACCTCACTGAGGGACGGGGGGGGTGTATGAAACTAACTTGCTGTGTATAGCGGAGGTCTTCAACAGGGGGTCCTTGGCCTGGAAAACGTTGCAGACCCCTGCTTTAAAGGGTTCATCTGATCCTGGACATTCACATCATTAACGTCCTTAGAAAAGGTCAAATATTTCTGCAGTTTATCAGGTTCCAGTGTTCGCCTTTACTGGTGGGTTCCTGGTGGGTTCCTGCAGCCCCGGTGGGTTCCTGCAGCCCCGGTGGGTTCCTGCAGCCCCGGTGGGTTCCTGCAGCCCTGGTGGGTTCCTGCAGCCCCGGTGGGTTCCTGCAGCCCCGTTGGGTTCCTGCAGCTCTGGTGGGTTCCTGCAGCCCCGTTGGGTTCCTGCAGCTCTGGTGGGTTCCTGCAGCCCCGGTGGGTTCCTGCAGCTCTGGTGGGTTCCTGCAGCCCCGGTGGGTTCCTGCAGCTCTGGTGGGTTCCTGCAGCCCCGGTGGGTTCCTGCAGCTCTGGTGGGTTCCTGCAGCCCTGGTGGGTTCCTGCAGCCCCGGTGGGTTCCTGCAGCCCCGGTGGGTTCCTGCAGCCCTGGTGGGTTCCTGCAACTCTGGTGGGTTCCTGCAGCCCTGGTGGGTTCCTGCAACTCTGGTGGGTTCCTGCAACTCTGGTGGGTTCCTGCAGCCCTGGTGGGTTCCTGCAGCTCTGGTGGGTTCCTGCAGCTCTGGTGGGTTCCTGCAGCCCCGGTGGGTTCCTGGTGGGTTCCTGCATCTCTGGTGGGTTCCTGCAGTTCTGGTGGGTTCCTGCAGCCCCCGTTGGGTTCCTGCAACTCTGGTGGGTTCCTGCAGCCCTGGTGGGTTCCTGCAGCTCTGGTGGGTTCCTGCAGCTCTGGTGGGTTCCTGCAGCCCCGGTGGGTTCCTGCAGCTCTGGTGGGTTCCTGCAGCTCTGGTGGGTTCCTGCAGCCCCGGTGGGTTCCTGGTGGGTTCCTGCATCTCTGGTGGGTTCCTGCAGTTCTGGTGGGTTCCTGCAGCCCCCGTTGGGTTCCTGCAACTCTGGTGGGTTCCTGCAGCCCTGGTGGGTTCCTGCAGCTCTGGTGGGTTCCTGCAGCTCTGGTGGGTTCCTGCAGCCCCGGTGGGTTCCTGGTGGGTTCCTGCATCTCTGGTGGGTTCCTGCAGTTCTGGTGGGTTCCTGCAGCCCCGGTGGGTTCCTGCAGCCCCGGTGGGTTCCTGCAGCTCTGGTGGGTTCCTGCAGCCCCGGTGGGTTCCTGCAGCCCCGGTGGGTTCCTGGTGGGTTCCTGCATCTCTGGTGGGTTCCTGCAGTTCTGGTGGGTTCCTGCAGCCCCGGTGGGTTCCTGCAGCCCCGGTGGGTTCCTGCAGCTCTGGTGGGTTCCTGCAGCTCTGGTGGGTTCCTGCAGCCCCGGTGGGTTCCTGCAGCTCTGGTGGGTTCCTGCAGCTCTGGTGGGTTCCTGCAGCCCCGGTGGGTTCCTGGTGGGTTCCTGCATCTCTGGTGGGTTCCTGCAGTTCTGGTGGGTTCCTGCAGCCCCCGTTGGGTTCCTGCAACTCTGGTGGGTTCCTGCAGCCCTGGTGGGTTCCTGCAGCTCTGGTGGGTTCCTGCAGCTCTGGTGGGTTCCTGCAGCCCCGGTGGGTTCCTGGTGGGTTCCTGCATCTCTGGTGGGTTCCTGCAGTTCTGGTGGGTTCCTGCAGCCCCGGTGGGTTCCTGCAGCCCCGGTGGGTTCCTGCAGCTCTGGTGGGTTCCTGCAGCCCCGGTGGGTTCCTGCAGCCCCGGTGGGTTCCTGGTGGGTTCCTGCATCTCTGGTGGGTTCCTGCAGTTCTGGTGGGTTCCTGCAGCCCCGGTGGGTTCCTGCAGCCCCGGTGGGTTCCTGCAGCTCTGGTGGGTTCCTGCAGCCCCGGTGGGTTCCTGCAGCCCCGGTGGGTTCCTGCAGCCCCGGTGGGTTCCTGCAGCTCTGGTGGGTTCCTGCAGCCCCGGTGGGTTCCTGGTGGGTTCCTGCAGCCCCGGTGGGTTCCTGCAGCCTCGGTGGGTTCCTGCAACTCTGGTGGGTTCCTGCAGCCCTGGTGGGTTCCTGCAGCTCTGGTGGGTTCCTGCAGCTCTGGTGGGTTCCTGCAGCCCCGGTGGGTTCCTGGTGGGTTCCTGCATCTCTGGTGGGTTCCTGCAGTTCTGGTGGGTTCCTGCAGCCCCGGTGGGTTCCTGCAGCCCTGGTGGGTTCCTGCAGCTCTGGTGGGTTCCTGCAGCCCCGGTGGGTTCCTGCAGCCCCGGTGGGTTCCTGCAGCCCCGGTGGGTTCCTGCAGCTCTGGTGGGTTCCTGCAGCCCCGGTGGGTTCCTGGTGGGTTCCTGCAGCCCCGGTGGGTTCCTGCAGCCCCGGTGGGTTCCTGGTGGGTTCCTGCAGCCCCGGTGGGTTCCTGCAGCTCTGGTGGGTTCCTGCAGCCCCGGTGGGTTCCTGCAGCTCTGGTGGGTTCCTGCAGCCCCGGTGGGTTCCTGCAGCTCTGGTGGGTTCCTGCAGCCCCGGTGGGTTCCTGCAGCCCCGGTGGGTTCCTGGTGGGTTCCTGCAGCCCCGGTGGGTTCCTGCAGCTCTGGTGGGTTCCTGCAGCCCCGGTGGGTTCCTGCAGCTCTGGTGGGTTCCTGCAGCCCCGGTGGGTTCCTGGTGGGTTCCTGCAGCCCCGGTGGGTTCCTGCAGTGCTGGTGGGAAAAAGCAGAACCCGAGAAGGTTTGCAGAGCGAAGGATGACATCATCCAGGTGTGTTTGGGACTTTCTGACAGAAAGAAAACAGAAACAGTAGTTTTATGTTAAAGCAGGTCAGCAGCAGAGAACAGAAACCACTCAGCGTAAAGTTAAAGATGAACCCAGTGACGATGCTTCACCATCACTCCATCACTGATCTGTTTCTATATTTAGAATAAGGATGGAGAAAAAGATTAAACTTTTAAAAGAGCTCAGCTGCACACCAACATTCCTCAGCTCTGCTGAGAGGCTTCCCCGCCTACATCTCCCAGAATGCCCTGCAGTTCTGCCTTATAGCCTGAGGAGACGTTTCTGAAATGACTCCACTAACAGGAGTAACCAGCATGACTCAAAAGGATCAAAACTTTATTCATAAAACACTTTTTATACAGTTAATGTGGTAAAAATAAAAATATTAAACACTGCCATCAAACATAGGAATGACGCCCCCACCGCCGTGCTTCTGTGGCCAGCGGGCGGCTCGGTTCTGTCTGCGCTCCAACCTCTCCCTCCTCCTCTGCAGAGTTCCTGTGATGCCCCAGAGTGGGCGGAGCTGGCCGGGGTCGTGATGCCGTACGTGGACCGACAGAACCGCATCTGTGGCTTCCTGGACATCGAGGAGAATGAGAACAGCGGCAGGTTCCTGCGCCGCTACTTCATCCTGGACACGGAGCAGGGGAACCTGCTGTGGTTCATGGACAACCCCCAGGTGAGTGAAGCGGGGCGGGTGGGGTCAGAGCCCCCCCTGCTGCAGCTCAGTTAGATCAGCTGCAGCTTTAGGTCGGCTGTCCATCCGCAGGCCTTCATCCAGGACGGTTCTGATCCCGTTAGAAAATAAAGCACCAACTGGATCAGCCGCTAAACACAGATGCAGGCCGCACTTTTCAGATCAGCGTTAAAGCGGCCGTGTTCCCATCAGAACATCGATCTCAGCTGCTGCTTTCTAAGAAAACACTGCATGCTGCAGAGGCAGGCAGGGGCGGATTTAGGAAATGTGGGGCCCCAGGCAAAGACAGGCAGGGGGCCCCTCTGAATGGAGAACACATCAAACAGCCCCATTCTCCAGATATAGAAATGTTAATAGAATAGACATCCATTATCTGTTCTAGGTTGTGTCCCTCTCTTCTTGTCCCTTTTCTTCTTGTTTTCCTCTCTATGTTTTGTACTCAGCTGACTTTTCATGCTGTCTCTAAAGGAATGAAAGATTTTTTCCAAGCACTAAGCTCACTTAGCTGAATGCTCCTTCCTGTGTTTCCAAAAAGGCCAAAGTAAATAACCCAGTCCTTCTTTTCACTGTAGACAAGCCATGATCTGCTTATCTGTTCTCCATTTTTCATTTGGATGAAATAATAGCTGCATGAATCATGACAGCAGACAAGATAGAGGAGAGCAGGAGGCGGGGTTACCAATCTACTCGCTCTGGAGAGCAGAGTTCGCTGCTTTTAGATGTTGTCTCCAAAGTCTCCAGTAGCAGAAAAAAGTCTCTAGATTTGGCGCTAGGAGCTTTTTAGAAATCAAAGTGCTAGAGGGGTCTGAAAAGTGGCTAAATATAGCGACTAAAGCGCTAAGTTGGCAACACTGCTCTTTGCATGGTTTGTTTTCAAATGCTTTGCTGCTGCTTGCTGCAAGTTTTATGGGGCCCCCAGGAACTTGGGGCCCTAGGCAGCTGCCTAGTATTGCCTAATGTTAACCCCCCCCTGGAGGCAGGAGGCGTTTACTAAGCTCACCAAACAGCAGCCAGAGTAAAAAGTCAGCGGCAGAACGTCTCTGTAAAGCTGGTATAGCTGCATTTCTGCTGCCAGGAGGCTGAACAGGAAGTAGTGCAGCAGAGACAGAGCAGCGTGCAGCGCCTGATGCCGTCTAACCGTCATTTACATGCGATGAGTCACAGCATGAATGTTGAGCTTGTGTTGGTTACCATCCTAACCACGTTCCTCACTTCTTTCCCTTTCAGAATCTGCCTAAAGGTGCGGATAGTGTGGGCTTCCTCAAACTCACCTACATCTCCAAGGTCAGTCTGACAACCACAGGAATGTTCTGGCTCCTTCAGGGCAGCAGAGCTTTGGTTCTGCTTTCCACACCCACTGGGTCTCAGGTTCTATTCTAGATGTTCAGCTCCTGTTGGGGGGGCAGACTGCTTGTTCCTGGATCTGGATTCAGAGCAGAAAGTGAAGGAAATATGAGCCGTTACCATTTAAATAGCCTCCACATCTGGTTCCATTTCTGCTGGACGCCACAACCAGACGGCTGAATAGAGAAATCCCACCAACAGGAACCAGAACCATCATGAAAAAGTATTCAACCATTCACCCCAGTTTAATAAACGGAGATCGATGGATTTTACTCAGTCGGATCTTTATTTTATCTTTGAAAAGAGAGAACAGTTCATCATACGGCCCTAATGGGCCCTAATAATCAGCCCTGTTCTGACTGAGCAGCGTTCTTCCTCCTTACTGACAATAATGGAAAATAGTCAGAGTCTAAACTAATTACAGACACTTTGGTTAAACAGTAAAATGTTATGAATAAACCTGAGAAAGAATCTGGTTTGTTCTGGAAGAAGCTATAACTGGTCTACAATCATTTTCACTCAGGTATTGTTTGGCCTGACAGGTGAAACTGAATGAAAACTTTTATAGTGAGTAAATAGGATAAATTAATATATGAAATAAAAGAAACTACATTTTCCACACAGCCGGTCCAAAAAAGTTCAAAAATCAATCCTCTGGACTTTGTTTCCAGGTTTGAAGACGTTTCTCTTCCATCTAGGAAACTTTTTCAATCCAAAATGTCAGAAATAGCGTTTAGTTCCAGGTTTTATCCAGCAGCCCAATAAAGCCTGGTTTTAGTTTAGAAAACATGCAAATAGAAACGGATGAACGGGTCCCCCCCTCTGGAATGGGGGCCGTTTGGCTTCTTTGTTAGCCTGCAATGCTCCATACCTGTCTATGTCTCTGAAAGGGGGGTCGTTAGAGGGAATTGTTGGCCTGGAGGAACAGGTGAGGTCTCCTGTTCTCCTGTAAAGGGGTTGGAGCTGCGATGATAGCGGGAAGGAATCAACTCTATCGCTGCATTGGAGGTTTCTGAAAGCTGTAATCTGCCCCCCCGTTTAAGGTTGGTTTTTCTTTCTTAACATAGATGGCTTCCTTCTCAACCACCTGTCTGCTTTGTCCAAAACGTGAACATTCTGGTCCTCCCAGAATGTCCTTTGTCCATCAGGTGTAGATGTAGCGCTGCATTTACTGCATGCACCACTCTGCCAGCCAGTAGAGCTGAGTCAGAACCTCTGCTCCTCCTCCTGTACAAGCTCTGCGCTGGTGGCATCCAGCTGTGTGGAGCAGCGGCAGCTCTCCTTGCAGTGCCTGATGATTGTCTCTGTGGGATGCTCCGTCCTCCCGCCGTGTTCCTCTGAGTTTTCTCCTCTTGTCTGCAGGTCAGTGATGCCAGCAAGCTCAGGCCGAAGGCAGAGTTCTGCTTTGGTAAGTTCATTGTTTCCCCCCCGCTCCTCTGATTGGCCGTTTCCCTCTGTCCCACCATCAGCCTCCGTCTCCATCGTCTCAGTTTTACGTAAAGCTCGGCTTTCCAGTCCCTCGTTTCCTTCCTTCCCTCCTTCCTCATCTTTCCACTTCCGCTCGCCTCCTTCCCTTCCTCCCTCCCTCCTTTCCTCGTCTCTTGAGTTCACTTCCTCCCTTTTGTCCCGTGCTCCCTGTTTTGCTCCTGCATGGAGCAGCAGCTCTTTGTCACTCAATGGGAGGAAACGGTTCAGTGACAATGACCCAGTGGCTGTGTACGGACGTTTGCATCTAGATGGGATGTTAATATGGAGGCGTGCATCCTCCTGCCTCTGGGAAACCATAAACAGGCAGATATTTTTAGATCTCCAGGGGTTTCTCTCCTTCTGTAGAGCCGACCCCAAGCAGCAGCGTTTATAAACTTCCTTTTGTTGCTGCAGTTATAAACGCAGGCATGAGGAAGTTCTACCTGCAGGCCAACGACCAGCAGGACCTGGTGGAATGGATCAACGTTCTGAACAACGCCACCAAGATCACAGTGAGTCTCACACACACAACCATCCCATCATTGATTCTGGTTGCCTGAATGACTCCTCGGATCGCAGCGTAGTGGACCTGCAGATTTAATGAAGGATCCTGCAGTGGAAGCAGAATCCGGACAGTTCTTTACCTGCAGAAGGTGGAAAAGCTTTGCTTCAGATAGAATCAGTTTTCCAGATGAACCAGAACAGATAAGCTGCAGACAAGCAGAGGAGGATGTTTGTGGACCAAAGACATTCAGCACAGATCGGTCCGTTAACTTTGTTCCTGGACTTCCTGTCCGCGGCGGGATGATCCAGGACCGGGTTAATCTGCAGCTCAGGACTAAAACCTTCCTCTGCTGTTGTGTTTCAGGTGCCAAAGTGTGGGGAGGGTCAGACCGCCGACGTGGAGACCCCACAGGAAGCTCTTGGAGCTATGAAGCAGGTCTCCTATAAGACAGAGATCGTAGCTGGGGTTCCCATCATCACAGCCACACAGGTGAGTCCTCCTCAGGTGGTTTATTAGCAGCAGCTGGCAGGTTTGGTCCCGTCTCTGCAGGCATGTGGTCCCATCATTCAGTCTGAAGCCTGCAGAGGGCTGCGGGGTCAGAACCTGAAGCCTGGCATCCTGCAGGGCCAGGCGTGTCCCTCTGCTGAGACAGAACCAGTCCAGAACCTCCCCCAGAGAGCTGAGGAGGATTAGGAGAACACCAGGTGGTCAGATGGAACCAGAGCAGAACTTTCTGACACAAACCATGTTAAACTGAGCTGGATCCTCACGACACCACACCTACTGTGGAGCATGGGGGTGGAACCAGCATGATGTGGGGCTGTTTCTCTTCAGAGCAGACAGGATGATGATCCGTGTTCAGAATAGGATCATGAACAGTGAGATTCACTGATAGCTTTGAAGATGAAAGGTTGCTGGGTCTTCCAGCGCGACAACGGTCCAAAAGCAACGCTAGGCAACCAAGGAGGAGCTCCGTAGAAAGCTTCCCAAGCTCCTGGATTCTCATAGTTGATGTGAACTTATGATGATGATGATTAGACTGATGAAGATTGCCGACATCTTGTCTCTTTCTGAGTCCCAGTGTGGGAAGGAGCCACAGGAGGAGTGAGTCCAGATGCAGCCGAGCCTTTTGATGGAGGATTGGCTGAAAGGAACCTTCCTTTGCCTGTGTAGATGCTCTTTGGATGGAGGGATGCTGCCGTCCATCCCGTCCTCCTTTAGGAGGAGAGGAATCCAGGAAAATGGAGGAACCTGAATCCAACAGGACAGGTCCTCCAATCAGTGGGATATAATCCCAGTTTAACAACAGTTCTGTCCCTCCATGCGGCGCTCCCTTTGGCCTCCTTTTATTCAGGTGCTGATCAGTTTGTTATCTCCTCCATGTTTGTAGTTTACATCCTGCTGAAAGCTTCGGCCATGCTGGGGCTCCGGGGGGGCCGCCACCAACGGACCTGCGCCGCAAAAATGATCTTAAAACGAGTAAAAGATTCTTAAAATAAGTTTATTCACCTTTAAATCGAGCAGGTAAATAAGATGCTCTGCCAATGGCGTATTTTTACCCTTAGAAAACAATAATTAGATATTATAGACTTAAAATAAGAGACTGCAGTTGTTTATTTCTTATTTGAAATGCAAATTGTTTTGTTCCATTAGCAAAGTGTCTCACTTTCCTCAATTCAAGACAAAATGCACTTATAAGAAAAAATGACCTATTTAGATGTAAATGTCTTGCAGTGCATGCTGGGTCCCCGGGGCCCCGTCACTGATGGACCTGGGCTCCACTCTGGAAAAAATAGAAATATAAATAAGAGATTTTTATTATTTATATTTTTTTCTTTTATTGAGGAAGTAAGTGAGACGTTTTGCTAATAGATCAAGACAATTAAAAAAGTGTTGCATTGTCTTATTTCAGGTGCGTATAATTTACTCGTACTCGTCGTCTCCCGCTTTATCCGGAACCGGGTCACGGGGGCAGCAGACTAAGCAGAGACTCCCAGACTTCCCTCTCCGCTGACACCTCCTCCAGCTCTGCTGGGGGAAGCCCAAGGCGCTCCCAGGCCAGCCTGGGTCGTCCCCTGGGCCTACTCCCAGTGGGACGTGCCTGGAACATCCAGGGGGCATCCGAAGAAGATGTCCGAGCCACCTCAACTGACTCCTCTCGATGTGGAGGAGAACCGGCTCTACACTGAGCCTCTCCCGAATGACCGAGCTCCTCACCCTATCTCTAAGGGAGAGCCCAGCCACCCTGCGGAGGAAGCTCATTTCAGCCGCTTGTATCCGGGATCTCGTTCTTTCGGTCATGATCCAGATTTCATGACCATAGGTGAGGGTAGGAACGTAGACCGAATGGTAAATTGAGAGGTTTGCCTTTTCGCTCAGCTCTCTCTTCACCACGACAGACCGGTGCAGCGTCCGCATTATTGCAGCAGCCGCACCGATCCGTCTATCGATCTCCCGCTCCATTCCTCCCTCACTCGTGAACAGGACCCGGTGCATGTTGGACTCCGACAGGGCTGCCCTCTGTCACCGGTCCTGTTCATAACTTTTATGGACAGGATTTCTAGGCACAGCCAAGGACCGGAGGGGGTCTGGTTCGGGGACCAGCGGATCTCGTCCCTGCTTTTTGCAGATGATGTAGTTCTGCTGGCTCCCTCCTGCCAAGACCTACAGCGTGCGCTGGGGCGGTTCGCAGCCGAGTGTGAAGCGGCCGGGATGAGAATCAGCTCCTCCAAATCCGAGGCCATGGTTCTCCACCGGAAAAAGGTGGCATGTCCCCTTCGGGTTGGAGGAGAGGCCCTGCCTCAAGTGGAGGAGTTCAAGTATCTTGGGGCGTATAATTTAATTATCTTTAATGGAAGAATATTCATTCTATTCACCGATCGTTTTATTTACCTCCTCAAATTAAGAATAAATACACTTAATTTAAGAATTGTTGACTTATTTCTCGATGGTTTTCGCAGTGCAAGACCTCCTGCTTGGTGACCAGTTACTGACTGGGCGTCCAGCTGTCAGAACCACTGGTCCCAGCAGGCATGGGGCGACCGCCCTGAGGAACCCCAGTGGTGCTGCCAGTTGAGTCTGAATGTTTGAAAGAAACTGGATCCGTTGTCCAGAAGTAGATGTTGATGACATGTTTCCAGTTGGTTGTTGGTCCATCAGGATGAGCTGAGCTCCTGTAGACCATCTCTTTCTGTGGATCCGAGTCTTTTTAAGCAGCTCAGACTCCTGCAGGTCTGCAGGTGGTTGTTTCCTGCCTCCCTCTCCTTCCTCCCCGCCATGGCGGTCCCCTCCAACATGTCGCCATGTGTTTGGCTGTTTAAGATGAAGCTGGTTTCTGTTTCAGGAGCAGAGCGAAGGCCAGAACGGGTCAGAGCGAGGGAAGCGGGCTCAGAACCAGCTGCCGTACTTCCTGTCCAGAGGGGTGCAGGATCAGGCTTTCATTAAGGCTGGATACTGCGTTAAACAGGGAGCTGTGGTGAGACCCGGCGCCATCAGAACCCGTCCATGTCCAGAACCTCCAGACGCTCAGGTCTTTTTTCTGCTTTTCAGATGAGGAACTGGAAGAGGAGGTACTTCATCCTGGATGAAAACGCTCTCAGCTACTACAAGTCTGACCTGGTGAGACAGGAAGTTGTTTATCTGCTGCAGACAGAGCAAATCTGATGATCTATAAGAAATGGTTTTTAGCAGCATATGAAGCAGGAACCGTGCTGGTTGTTCCCTGTTTGTGTCCTGATCAACATCCTCTTTAGGTCAGAGTGTGAATGGAGCGGAGGTTGCTGATGTTCTAACAGGGATCTAAATGCAGAGGCGTGGTTATCTCTGCACGCTGCAGCACGCACTCTGAATTCCTGCTCATGCCTGGAGAGATGGCTGAACCATGTCCCAACCAGGACCTGTCGGAGCACATGAGGACACACCCAGAGCGGCTGAGCATGTTCCCTCAGGCGGCAGGTTCATGCCTCAGCAGATGTTAGCTTGGTCACATGGTCTGACTGAGGAAGTCAGAGCTGCTGGTTGAACGCCTCCAGCTCTGGGAGAACGGACCCGTTTCACCATCGTCCTCCGCCTGCCGGTCTGGGACAGGAGCTGACTCAGGCTGTGGCTGACCCGTTACCAGGGCAACGCAAAGGCAAACAGGAAGCGTTTTTGATGATGATGGAAATGTTTGAACCAGGGATGATAATCCACCTCTGATCATCTCTGCTCTGCCAGATTAACTGTTTCCTGCTCAGAGTGTTGTAGTGATACCGGCATCCAGAAGAGGGCGCCCTGTTCAGAGGCGCTCTGATGTTTTAGGAGAGTCTGTCTGTGTAACCGTTGATTTCCATGACATTTTTACCAAAGGCTTCCCTCAGGTGATGATTCAGGGCATAATCTGGATTATGACCTGGTTGGTATGGGGTTTACTGCTCTCAGCTGCCTCCACCTCCCATCAGCCCTGCTCTCACATCCTGCAGAAAGTTGGAGCAAAGGAGATAAAACAAAGTTTGATTTATAAAACATATCTGGTCTTTCTCAGGACCGGGAGGCGCTGAGAGTCATCCCTCTGAAGGAGATCCAGAAGGTCCAGGAGTGCAAACAGAGGTCAGTGAGCTGCTGGATCCTTCAGAGCCTTGTTTAAGCCACAGTGTTTAAAAGCTGCTCTCTTCTGTGTTCTGCAGCGAACTGATGATGAGAGACAACCTGTTTGAAATGGTCACCAACTCCAGAACCTTCTACATCCAGGTGCTGCTTTCATCTTTATTCTGCTTAGGATGGATGAGGCTCTGCAGCAGCTTCAACTATTCCCTTCCTGATGGACTGAAAATCAAAATAAAAAACATCTCAGACCAACAAATAATGTGAAAGAAAGATCCACCAATGAATGTCAGCTTTTAAAACATACTTTAAACTAAGGGAACATCACTGTTAGTGCAGCTCATCACCCTGAAGCAGGTTTAACAAACTCAGATTAAAATCCTTAACTCTAAATTAATCCAACCTAAAGTCTGAAACTCGGCTGCTATCAATTAGTTCAATCAACTCTAAGTAGAACCAATCAGAGTTTAGAACGTGCACAACAAGTATAAAAGGCCATTATCAGTGGAGAAATGATTCAATCAGTCACCATGACAACAGGCAACAGGAAGTGCCATTACTCCCCCACTGGAACTAGAGTGGCTATGGCAGGCCGTTTTACCTGAAGCGGGCTATGGCAGGCCGTTTTAACTGATGCGGGCTATGGCAGGCCGTTTTACCTGAAGCGGGCTATGGCAGGCCGTTTTAACTGATGCGGGCTATGGCAGGCCGTTTTACCTGAAGCGGGCTATGGCAGGCCGTTTTAACTGATGCGGGCTATGGCAGGCCGTTTTAACTGAAGTGGGCTACGGCAGGCCGTTTTAACTGATGCGGGCTATGGCAGGCCGTTTTAACTGAAGTGGGCTACGGCAGGCCGTTTTAACTGATGCGGGCTATGGCAGGCCGTTTTACATGAAGTGGGCTATGGCAGGCCGTTTTAACTGATGCGGGCTATGGCAGGCCGTTTTAACTGATGCGGGCTATGGCAGGCCGTTTTAACTGAAGTGGGCTACGGCAGGCCGTTTTAACTGATGCGGGCTATGGCAGGCCGTTTTACATGAAGTGGGCTATGGCAGGCCGTTTTACCTGAAGCGGGCTATGGCAGGCCGTTTTAACTGATGCGGGCTATGGCAGGCCGTTTTACATGAAGTGGGCTATGGCAGGCCGTTTTAACTGAAGTGGGCTACGGCAGGCCGTTTTACATGAAGTGGGCTATGGCAGGCCGTTTTAACTGAAGTGGGCTACGGCAGGCCGTTTTACCTGAAGTGGGCTATGGCAGGCCGTTTTAACTGATGCGGGCTATGGCAGGCCGTTTTATCTGAAGTGGGCTATGGCAGGCCGTTTTAACTGATGCGGGCTATGGCAGGCCGTTTTACATGAAGTGGGCTATGGCAGGCCGTTTTAACTGAAGTGGGCTACGGCAGGCCGTTTTAACTGAAGTGGGCTATGGCAGGCCGTTTTAACTGAAGTGGGCTACGGCAGGCCGTTTTAACTGATGCGGGCTATGGCAGGCCGTTTTACCTGAAGTGGGCTATGGCAGGCCGTTTTAACTGATGCGGGCTATGGCAGGCCGTTTTACATGAAGTGGGCTATGGCAGGCCGTTTTAACTGAAGTGGGCTACGGCAGGCCGTTTTAACTGAAGTGGGCTATGGCAGGCCGTTTTACTTGAAGTGGGCTATGGCAGGCCGTTTTACTTGAAGTGGGCTATGGCAGGCCGTTTTAACTGAAGTGGGCTACGGCAGGCCGTTTTAACTGAAGTGGGCTATGGCAGGCCGTTTTACTTGAAGTGGGCTATGGCAGGCCCTTTTACATGAAGTTGGCTACGGCAGGCCGTTTTATCTGAAGTGGGCTACGGCAGGCCGTTTTACTTGAAGTGGGCTATGGCAGGCCGTTTTACTTGAAGTGGGCTATGGCAGGCCCTTTTACATGAAGTGGGCTACGGCAGGCCGTTTTACCTGAAGTGGGCTACGGCAGGCCGTTTTACTTGAAGTGGGCTATGGCAGGCCGTTTTAACTGAAGTGGGCTACGGCAGGCCGTTTTACCTGATGCGGGCTATGGCAGGCCGTTTTACTTGAAGTGGGCTATGGCAGGCCGTTTTATCTGAAGTGGGCTACGGCAGGCCGTTTTACCTGAAGCGGGCTACGGCAGGCCGTTTTACTTGAAGTGGGCTATGGCAGGCCGTTTTATCTGAAGTGGGCTACGGCAGGCCGTTTTATCTGAAGTGGGCTACGGCAGGCCGTTTTACTTGAAGTGGGCTATGGCAGGCCGTTTTACCTGAAGTGGGCTATGGCAGGCCGTTTTACCTGAAGTGGGCTATGGCAGGCCGTTTTGCCTGAAGTGGGCTATGGCAGGCCGTTTTACCTGAAGTGGGCTATGGCAGGCCGTTTTATCTGAAGTGGGCTACGGCAGGCCGTTTTATCTGAAGTGGGCTACGGCAGGCCGTTTTATCTGAAGTGGGCTACGGCAGGCCGTTTTACCTGAAGCAGGCTATGGCAGGCCGTTTTACATGAAGTGGGCTATGGCAGGCCGTTTTACATGAAGTGGGCTATGGCAGGCCGTTTTATCTGAAGTGGGCTACGGCAGGCCGTTTTACCTGAAGCGGGCTATGGCAGGCCGTTTTACTTGAAGCGGGCTACGGCAGGCCGTTTTACATGAAGTGGGCTATGGCAGGCCGTTTTACATGAAGTGGGCTATGGCAGGCCGTTTTACCTGAAGTGGGCTATGGCAGGCCGTTTTACCTGAAGTGGGCTATGGCAGGCCGTTTTACCTGAAGCGGGCTACGGCAGGCCGTTTTATCAGAAGCGGGCTATGGCAGGCCGTTTTACCTGAAGTGGGCTACGGCAGGCCGTTTTATCAGAAGCGGGCTACGGCAGGCCGTTTTACCTGAAGTGGGCTACGGCAGGCCGTTTTACCTGAAGTGGGCTACGGCAGGCCGTTTTACCTGAAGTGGGCTACGGCAGGCCGTTTTACCTGAAGTGGGCTACGGCAGGCCGTTTTACCTGAAGCGGGCTACGGCAGGCCGTTTTACCTGAAGCGGGCTACGGCAGGCCGTTTTACCTGAAGCGGGCTACGGCAGGCCGTTTTACCTGAAGTGGGCTATGGCAGGCCGTTTTACTTGAAGTGGGCTATGGCAGTCCGTTTTACCTGAAGTGGGCTATGGCAGTCCGTTTTACCTGAAGTGGGCTATGGCAGTCCGTTTTACCTGAAGTGGGCTATGGCAGTCCGTTTTACCTGAAGTGGGCTATGGCAGGCCGTTTTACCTGAAGTGGGCTACGGCAGGCCGTTTTATCTGAAGTGGGCTACGGCAGGCCGTTTTATCTGAAGTGGGCTACGGCAGGCCGTTTTATCTGAAGTGGGCTACGGCAGGCCGTTTTACCTGAAGCGGGCTACGGCAGGCCGTTTTACATGAAGTGGGCTATGGCAGGCCGTTTTACATGAAGTGGGCTATGGCAGGCCGTTTTATCTGAAGTGGGCTACGGCAGGCCGTTTTACCTGAAGCGGGCTATGGCAGGCCGTTTTACTTGAAGCGGGCTACGGCAGGCCGTTTTACCTGAAGTGGGCTATGGCAGGCCGTTTTACTTGAAGTGGGCTACGGCAGGCCGTTTTACATGAAGTGGGCTATGGCAGGCCGTTTTACCTGAAGTGGGCTATGGCAGGCCGTTTTACCTGAAGGTGGCTATGGCAGGCCGTTTTACCTGAAGCGGGCTACGGCAGGCCGTTTTACCTGAAGCGGGCAACGGCAGGCCGTTTTATCAGAAGCGGGCTACGGCAGGCCGTTTTACCTGAAGTGGGCTACGGCAGGCCGTTTTACCTGAAGTGGGCTACGGCAGGCCGTTTTACCTGAAGTGGGCTACGGCAGGCCGTTTTACCTGAAGTGGGCTACGGCAGGCCGTTTTACCTGAAGCGGGCTACGGCAGGCCGTTTTACCTGAAGCGGGCTACGGCAGGCCGTTTTACTTGAAGTGGGCTATGGCAGGCCGTTTTACTTGAAGTGGGCTATGGCAGTCCGTTTTACCTGAAGTGGGCTATGGCAATCTGTTTTACCTGAAGTGGGCTATGGCAGGCCGTTTTACCTGAAGTGGGCTATGGCAGGCCGTTTTATCTGAAGTGGGCTACGGCAGGCCGTTTTATCTGAAGTGGGCTACGGCAGGCCGTTTTATCTGAAGTGGGCTACGGCAGGCCGTTTTACCTGAAGCGGGCTATGGCAGGCCGTTTTACATGAAGTGGGCTATGGCAGGCCGTTTTATCTGAAGTGGGCTACGGCAGGCCGTTTTACCTGAAGCGGGCTATGGCAGGCCGTTTTACTTGAAGCGGGCTACGGCAGGCCGTTTTACCTGAAGTGGGCTATGGCAGGCCGTTTTACTTGAAGTGGGCTACGGCAGGCCGTTTTACATGAAGTGGGCTATGGCAGGCCGTTTTACCTGAAGTGGGCTATGGCAGGCCGTTTTACCTGAAGTGGGCTATGGCAGGCCGTTTTACCTGAAGTGGGCTATGGCAGGCCGTTTTACCTGAAGCGGGCTACGGCAGGCCGTTTTACCTGAAGCGGGCTACGGCAGGCCGTTTTACCTGAAGCGGGCTACGGCAGGCCGTTTTACCTGAAGCGGGCTACGGCAGGCCGTTTTACCTGAAGTGGGCTATGGCAGGCCGTTTTATCTGAAGCGGGCTACGGCAGGCCGTTTTACCTGAAGCGGGCTACGGCAGGCCGTTTTACCTGAAGCGGGCTACGGCAGGCCGTTTTACCTGAAGCGGGCTATGGCAGGCCGTTTTACCTGAAGCGGGCTATGGCAGGCCGTTTTACCTGAAGCGGGCTATGGCAGGCCGTTTTACCTGAAGCGGGCTATGGCAGGCCGTTTTATCTGAAGCGGGCTACGGCAGGCCGTTTTATCTGAAGTGGGCTACGGCAGGCCGTTTTACCTGAAGCGGGCTACGGCAGGCCGTTTTACATGAAGCGGGCTACGGCAGGCCGTTTTACCTGAAGTGGGCTATGGCAGGCCGTTTTACCTGAAGCGGGCTATGGCAGGCCGTTTTACCTGAAGTGGGCTACGGCAGGCCGTTTTACCTGAAGTGGGCTATGGCAGGCCGTTTTACCTGAAGCGGGCTATGGCAGGCCGTTTTACCTGAAGTGGGCTATGGCAGGCCGTTTTACCTGAAGTGGGCTATGGCAGGCCGTTTTACATGAAGTGGGCTACGGCAGGCCGTTTTACCTGAAGCGGGCTACGGCAGGCCGTTTTACCTGAAGCGGGCTATGGCAGGCCGTTTTACCTGAAGTGGGCTATGGCAGGCCGTTTTACCTGAAGCGGGCTATGGCAGGCCGTTTTACCTGAAGCGGGCTATGGCAGGCCGTTTTAACTGATGCGGTCTATGGCAGGCCGTTTTACTTGAAGCGGGCTACGGCAGGCCGTTTTACTTGAAGCGGGCTACGGCAGGCCGTTTTATCTGAAGCGGGCTATGGCAGGCCGTTTTATCTGAAGCGGGCTATGGCAGGCCGTTTTACCTGAAGCGGGCTATGGCAGGCCGTTTTACCTGAAGCGGGCTACGGCAGGCCGTTTTATCTGAAGTGGGCTATGGCAGGCCGTTTTACATGAAGTGGGCTATGGCAGGCCGTTTTACCTGAAGCGGGCTACGGCAGGCCGTTTTATCTGAAGTGGGCTATGGCAGGCCGTTTTACCTGAAGCGGGCTATGGCAGGCCGTTTTACCTGAAGCGGGCTACGGCAGGCCGTTTTATCTGAAGTGGGCTATGGCAGGCCGTTTTACATGAAGTGGGCTACGGCAGGCCGTTTTATCTGAAGTGGGCTATGGCAGGCCGTTTTACATGAAGTGGGCTATGGCAGGCCGTTTTACTTGAAGCGGGCTACGGCAGGCCGTTTTACTTGAAGCGGGCTACGGCAGGCCGTTTTATCTGAAGCGGGCTATGGCAGGCCGTTTTACTTGAAGCGGGCTATGGCAGGCCGTTTTACTTGAAGCGGGCTACGGCAGGCCGTTTTATCTGAAGTGGGCTATGGCAGGTCGTTTTACCTGAAGCGGGCTATGGCAGGCCGTTTTACCTGAAGCGGGCTATGGCAGGCCGTTTTACCTGAAGCGGGCTATGGCAGGCCGTTTTACTTGAAGCGGGCTACGGCAGGCCGTTTTATCTGAAGTGGGCTATGGCAGGCCGTTTTACATGAAGTGGGCTATGGCAGGCCGTTTTACATGAAGTGGGCTATGGCAGGCCGTTTTACCTCTCCTCTCTGTTCCAACTGTAGATCACTAAAATAAGATTCTTCCTGACCAAAATCACACTCGTAGACTCAGCTGTAATATTATATTCTATAAATTACAGTTTTGTAGCAGAAAATGAATTTCAGAAAAAAAAATTGTACTAATAACAATTAAGTTTTGTAGAACTAGAAATCTTTAGACAGTTTCAGTGGCAGTTCTGACATTTATCAGTTTGACTGAAAATTTATTTATATATGAGAAACATTTCTTCACAGTCAAAATAATACAAATGCTGACCGGAAACGATAGGAAGATGGAGATCTGATATTAATTTCTAGACATCCACAATGTTTATTCTAGATGTGGAGAATGTCATTTTGTTTTAAATGCTCATTATGACAAAGAAAGCAGTTTTTTTTTTCTGATATCAGGAATACGTAATCAGTAAAAGTAGTACATATCGAAACAGTCTTACGAACACGATAGCATTACGAGATTATTTCTTGAATGTTGGTGGATCAATGTATCTGTTTAGGTGAAATTATCTGTTTAGGTGAAATTATCTGGTGAACTTTCCAGTTCACCAGATCAAAATGACTCATAATTAACAAACAAAGAACAAATAAATCTCCCATCACTGAGTTGCAGAATCTTCTCCCTATGAATATTTAATTCTCTGTGAATTAATGTTGATCATTCTTTAATAAGATCCCCGTCAAACAGGCATGAAATGTTTATTAAAACCTAATGTTTCTAACGGACCTAGTAAATGATATATAATATTTATGCCCAAAACTACAACAATAATCGGACTAAATGAGGAAATGAAGCTTTGTGATTGGCTGTAAGCAGAGCGGAGACAGAGACACTCTGAGTTTACTGAAGGAAACCTGCTGCTGACCAGGTCAGCTCTGGGAGGATGTTACCATGGCAACAGAGGATGAGGAAACTCTCTTTGAGAAACGGAAAACTCAGAGTTTCCCTGATTTCAGGTTTAGAAAACTCAGAGTTTTCAGTAAACCTGCTTTTTTAAACAGACCTGGAGCTCCCGTTACCATGGGAACCAGCTAAAACTGTCCCTGTGTCTCTGTGTCCTTCAGGCTGACAGTCCAGAAGACATGCACGGCTGGATCAAGGCCATCTCCGGGGCCATAGTCGCTCAGCGCGGGCCGGGACGCTCCGCCAGCTCGGTGCGTATCTCACAGCTGCCAGAAGGTGCTGCCACCTGGTGGCAGAGAAAGGAACTCTTCCATCCTGGGATCGGGCTCATAGTTACTGTTTGTCCAGAGATTCATAGCTTTAAACATTTTTAGAGTTAATGACATGATGATGATGATGGTGATGATGATGATGATGGTGATGATGGTGATGATGATGATGATGATGATGATGATGATGATGATGATGTGTTTTTAGTGATTTTCTCCCCCAGCCTGTGAAGTTTCTCTCTACAGTCTCTTTCCAAACCTCATCAGTTCTTCGTCTTCAATATTTGTTTGGAATTAAAACTAAAATGTTTTTTATTTCTGATTTAAAGTTTGGGATATTTGATGAGAGAAGATTAAAATCAGTGTTTTTATCGTAGCTGTTAGTTTCTGCGGATAAAAAGGTTGATCTTGTAACAGATCCAACCGCAAACAGCTGCTCTGTCTGAGCTGCTGTGACATCATCAGCTGGTTTCTGACCTGCAGGTTAGGAGCAGGTCGCCATGGCGCAGTTAGGGGGCGGGGGGTGGGGGGGGGGTATTGTCTGCCTGCCTGGAACTGAGCTGTAAACTGTTGTTTTCAGATCCGTCAGGCCCGCCGGCTGTCCAGTTCCTGTATACAGAGGTATACTCTGATCTGCACGTATTTGACCCCCGACCCCAACCCTAACCTAACCCCCATTCATCCATCTCTGCTTCCTCCTAATTTACCCCCAAGCTTCCAGCTATTAGAGGGAAACCAGTAATAAATGTCTTCATCTCCTGAATCTACAGCAGACTCCAGAAATGTTTCGCCAACTCTCCGACACTCTCGTCTTTCTGATTCCTCTGTCATCAGAGGCCATCTCTAGAAGTCGTTAACTCGCCCTGATCCAAGGCTGGATCACCTCCACAGCGCAGCCGTTTTTTATTCTTTACTTTCTGACGTTTTGCAGCTTTTTTCCCTAAGTTTAAACATATTCCCTCGATCTTTCAGACCCCCCTTTATTTATGGACTGGTTTTAACTGGGATTACTTTGACTCTTTCCAGTATCCAGTGTGAATTTCATGCTTGTCCTCTGCAGTAAAGCAGTGACATTTGATTTGATTTTGATATACTCTAATAATCCCAGAGGGAAATTACTTCTCTGCATTTAACCCATCCCCTTGGGGAGCAGTGAGCTGCCATTGTGAGGCGCAGGGTGAGGTTAAGGGTCTTGCTCAGGGACCCAGAGTGGCAGTCTGGGTCATGTTAGCATTGCTGTGTTAGCATTGCTGTGTTAGCATTGCTGTGTGTCTCCAGTATAAAACGGATGTGGAGAAATAAATGTGCTGCCTGTGATGGACAGCAAAGATCAGCTTAAAGATCCGTCATTAATCGGGCTAAGACGTTACGGAGGAGGGATGGGTTTGGGAAACGCTTTAGGATCCTGATATGAAGCTGGTCCAGGATCAGTGAGAGCGGGGACTGTGGCTCTGATTACAACCAGACTCTTCAGGTTATTTACTGAAGGTAAAAATCTGCTGAGAGGCAAAGAGGATCTTATCAGAGATCCACACAGATGTAACCGGAAATCTAATATTTGATTCAGATGAATTTCCAGCTGCAAAATAACGGTTTGAACTCCTAAAGACAGCTGGACTCCATCTCTGGGTGGGTCCCAATTCAGGGCGGCATCCTGAGCATAGCTTCAGTTGCCTAGCAACAGTGACAGCAACATTTTTCTCTTTAAATCCTTTATCCTGACATTAATGTGGTATTTATCAAAGGTAGAGCTGCGTATAACAGAAGTTAAAACTCTGAATGGTTGATTGATGAGGGTCTCAGTGTTCATTATTAATGGGACAGGTGGCATCAATCAAACAGGGCAGTACTTCTGCTTCTGTGTTTCATCATTTTCAAAGAGCTGAATAAACATTTATCTTAGTGGAGATATTTAAAAGATGTTTTTCTAGAAGGTATTTGGTGAGAGGTTATGATTGTAAAGTTCTTTTTAAATCCACAATAGCGCCGTTTGAAGATGAGCTAACTCTGATCTCATTTTCATGTTCAACTTGAATTTAAGGCAAGATTTACTTTTTAACAAAAGTCCAAAAGTATATTACTGGAATGAGTTCTGGTGTAGCGTCCATTCAGCAGGTCAATCCAGAGAGAAGACGGCCCAATCAGCTGCTCAGAAATAACTAATCAGGTGGAACCTTAATAAACTGATTAACTTCCTCAAAGCGTCTTTGAAAACATAGTTTCCATTTCTATCCACTGTCATCCGCCATTGGTGCCTGAGATTCACCAGTTTGCTTTGACTCGCACTGAATCAGGGTTAATGAGAGGAGAGTTGATCAGTCAGGGGAAATGCTCAACCATGGCAGCAAACGGATGACATCAATATTTTTGGATGAACCTGACTGTTGTCATGGTGATGGTGGTTTAGATGTTAAACCACTTTGGAAGGTCAGAAACTTAAATCCTTTAGTTTTTAATCCCTTTGATCTTCATGTAAAAGCAGCTCATTTAGAAGAAGTTGCTGCAAAACAGCAAAACCAAACTTGACGGCAGGACAAGGCAGGACAAGGCAGGATGGTGACAGGACAATGGCAGGGCAGTGGCAGGACAACGCAAGACAGTGACAGGACAAGGCAGGACAATGGCAGGAAGGTAGCGGGACAATTGCAGGACAAGGAAAGACAGTGACAGGACAAGGCAAGACAGTGACAGGACAAGGCAGGACAGTGACAGGACAATGGCAGGGCAAGGCAAGACAGTGACAGGACAATGGCAGGGCAGTGGCAGGACGAGGCAAGACAGTGACAGGACAAGGCAAGACAGTGACAGGACAAGGCAGGGCAGTGGCAGGACAAGGCAAGACAGTGACAGGACAATGGCAGGGCAGTGGCAGGACAATGGCAGGGCAGTGGCAGGACAAGGCAAGACAGTGACAGGACAAGGCAGGACAATGGCGGGAAGGTAGCGGGACAATGGCAGGGCAGTGGCAGGACAAGGCAGGGTGACAGCTATGTTGGGACACATCAGGAAAGCCAAAACAGTAGTTTATTAGGAAACTAAGCTGATGAGTTAAAACTTGAAGGATCTGTTATTCTCATTCAAAACCAAGTTTTGCTCAGTTGTTCTCAAACTGACTGCAGGGGAATCTGACAAATCAGCACTAACTTCAGCAGCATATGGAGGTTTAATAATGCCGTTAGTTGCATCTATCCTGCGTTTTCACGACATTTGGATCATTTTTCTACCAAGCCCACGGTTATTTTTTCCTAACATCTCTGGAGAGTTTCCAGGTCCTAAAGCCTTTGGATTCTCCGCCTCCCAGTCGGAACAAAACGTCCCTGTCTTTCTGCTAACCCTCTGCCATCTTGTCTTTCTGCTTCTGCTTCCTGGTGTGTGTGTGTGTGTGTTTTCCAGAGGGTGAGGTGTGACAGTGACACAGTAACCTTCCCTAAATGAGCCCACTGCCTTCCTCCTCCCCCCTCACTGCTGCTCATCGTCTTCATCACCCAGCCCCGCTAGCCAGCGCTCTTCATCCTCTCCTCTTCCGCAGCAGCAGCAGCATCACTCGTCTGTATGTGGACCTGCATGAGAGCTGCATTTCTGTGACTATGACCCAGTTTTAACTTTGTTGCTCACATTCAATCAGTTCATTTTAAAAGTAATTCTTACCGGAAAAAATCAATAGAGCAACTTGAGTTAGAAAGGTAAACTTCTTATAGATGTAGAATAAAGAGGTGGTAAAAACCCATCTTTCTTTGCAGCGGCATAATCTCTTCCTGGAGGTTTTGAAAAATCTAATATAAAATGAAATGGTCTGAACCCAGAAGTTTACGTTCTCCTGATTGTGCTACTTTGTCTACTTTTACCTCACGGAAATCTACTCGTAGTCTTCGTCTTCTCTAGGAAGGGGTCACAGAGGGCAGCAGAGACTCCCAGCCTTCCCCCTTCCACCCGGCGGGGGAAGCCGAAGCCTCCTGGCCGCTTCACACTAACCCGCCCCAGTCCATGCTGCAGGAGGGAACCAGCAAAACCAGGTCTGCAAAAAGCAGGAAGGAAACCCACTGGTTCCCAAACCAGAACCCCTGGTCCTGGGCTGCTCTTAGAATCCAGTCCATAAAGTTCTGAATAGAACCGGTACCAGAGGGCAGCCCTGATGGAGTCCAACATGGACCAGGAACAGGTCCGACTCTATGCTCATAGAGCGCTCCCCACAGGGCAGGTCCATTTGACACATGTGGACCAATTAAGCCAACTCCCATGAACCCTGGTGCTCCCTACCTGGTCCACCTTTCCACATCCAGAAACATACTGCTGCTCCTAAAGCAGAGGACTCTCCCCTCCAGCACCCTGGCATAGACCTCCAGGGAGGCTGAGCAGTGGGTTCTCCCTATAGGTGGAACACACCCTCTGACCAGGAACCACCTCCCCAGTCTGCCAGTCCAGGGAACTGAGCCGTCCTTGAACCTCCACCTTGGTCGTGTTGTCGAGGGCTTAAAGCCCCTGGTAGGTTCCAGCCCTGAAGACTGAAAAGTCGAGGCACGTGACATCACCCGGTATGGCAGAGCTGGGGCCCTAACGTGGAGCCGGGTTTCATGGGCGAGCGCCTGGTGGTTTACTTCTTCATCATGGGAACCTGCCTGAAGGAGAAACGAGAGGCCCTCCCTCTGTGGCCCCCAACTGCAGGGGGACCAATGGGGGACGGGTGCAGAGAGGACGGGGCAGCAGTCAGAGGCCTCAGCCAGCGATCCACAGACTCTAAAACTAGAGGTCACTTTCCCACAGTTTCTTTCTCTGCTGGGTGTTTCTCCTCTGACCAAAGACTTAACCACATCAGTCAGCGGCCGTTATCATTGATCGACCCTCAGTCGGAACAGCCTGATCTGTTTAAAACTTTAAGGAATTTCATCTTGGTAAAACATTTTAAATCAGAGACACTTTTTTATAAAAAAAAAACAAATAAATGTATAAACGTTGAAGTTCGTAGTAGCTGTTGAGTTTAAAAGCCAACTTTGTTTACTAAAGTCAATGAGCTGCATGTGCTGCGCTCTGATTGGTTCATTCAAGCTGCCACTGAACCAATGTCCTCTGGTTTGGAGATGATTGTATAAAGATTTCAGGGGGAGATTATTTTGCTGCAAAAACATATTTTTTTAAATGACTTGGATATTTCCAGCATTTGATTGGTTGGAGAAACAACTGTTTACATTTTAAGCTTCTGGGATGATTACTGTTCTTGATTGTTTCTGCAGTGATCAGCTTTAATTGTTAATCCTGATTTATAAGCAAACGGAAATTCAATGCAAGAAAAAATCTCTGGGATTATTATCAGAATAATCCGAATACAAGGAAAACTTGACAACAAATTTCAGCTGAACTTTCTTTCTGTCTAAAAAGTTTGACTTTTCCTCCTTCAATCACAGACTCATCCATCCATCCGCTCCACCAGTAATCTGTTAATCTCCATCCGTCCGTCCGTCCGTCCATCCATCCATCCATTCAATCATCCATCCATCCATCCATCCATCCATCCATCCATCCATCCATCCATCCATCCGTCCGTCCATCCATCCATCCATTCAATCATCCATCCATCCATCCATCCATCCATCCAACCATCCCGTCGTTCACAGCCTCCTTTTCTACCCCTCACCTTCTCTTCTACTCTTTCCCCAGGAGCACAGCGGCTCTCCCTCTCCCACCTCAGCCTCCACCTTCTACTACTCCGTTAACTCGGAATCGCTTTACCCAGAATCCTCAGCGGGTGATCAGCCTCACGCTGGACACTCACCAACAGGACAGCTTCCTCAGCCTCCTTCCTTGGCGGCTCAGTGGAGTCCAGCCGATGAGCTCCCGCCTGTCGCTGCAGGAGACGGTTCAGTCCTCAAAGTGATGGCGACCAAGAGGCTCTGCGGTGGCGAGGACGACCTGACCTCAGAGGATCCAGACAAACTCATCACTCAGATGTGATAAAAACTCACCATTGTTTATTCTCCTGCTGAACTATGTTTTTCTACATGTGGGTCTTCCTCTGCCTATCCCCCGTGGGTCTTCTTCTGCCTATCCCCAGTGGGTCTTCCTCTGCCTATCCCCCGTGGGTCTTCCTCTGCCTATCCCCCGTGGGTCTTCCTCTGCCGATCCCCAGTGGGTCTTCCTCTGCCGATCCCCAGTGGGTCTTCCCCTGCCGATCCCCAGTGGGTCTTCCCCTGCCGATCCCCAGTGGGTCTTCCTCTGCCGATCCCCAGTGGGTCTTCCCCTGCCGATCCCCAATGGGTCTTCCTCTGCGATCCCCAGTGGGTCTTCCCCTGCCGATCCCCAGTGGGTCTTCCTCTGCCGATCCCCAGTGGGTCTTCCTCTGCCGATCCCCAGTGGGTCTTCCTCTGCTCATCCCCAGTGGGTCTTCCCCTGCCGATCCCCAGTGGGTCTTCCTCTGCCGATCCCCAGTGGGTCTTCCTCTGCCGATCCCCAGTGGGTCTTCCTCTGCTCATCCCCAGTGGGTCTTCCTCTGCTCATCCCCAGTGGGTCTTCCCCTGCCGATCCCCAGTGGGTCTTCCTCTGCTCATCCCCAGTGGGTCTTCCTCTGCCGATCCCCAGTGGGTCTTCCTCTGCCGATCCCCAGTGGGTCTTCCCCTGCCGATCCCCAGTGGGTCTTCCCCTGCCGATCCCCAGTGGGTCTTCCTCTGCCGATCCCCAGTGGGTCTTCCCCTGCCGATCCCCAGTGGGTCTTCCCCTGCCGATCCCCAATGGGTCTTCCTCTGCGATCCCCAGTGGGTCTTCCCCTGCCGATCCCCAGTGGGTCTTCCTCTGCCGATCCCCAGTGGGTCTTCCTCTGCCGATCCCCAGTGGGTCTTCCTCTGCTCATCCCCAGTGGGTCTTCCCCTGCCGATCCCCAGTGGGTCTTCCCCTGCCGATCCCCAGTGGGTCTTCCCCTGCCGATCCCCAGTGGGTCTTCCTCTGCTCACCCCCAGTGGGTCTTCCTCTGCCGATCCCCAGTGGGTCTTCCTCTGCCGATCCCCAGTGGGTCTTCCCCTGCCGATCCCCAGTGGGTCTTCCTCTGCCGATCCCCAGTGGGTCTTCCTCTGCTCATCCCCAGTGGGTCTTCCTCTGCCGATCCCCAGTGGGTCTTCCTCTGCTGATCCCCAGTGGGTCTTCCTCTGCCGATCCCCAGTGGGTCTTCCTCTGCTCATCCCCAGTGGGTCTTCCTCTGCCGATCCCCAGTGGCTGCTCTGAACTGAAGCAGAAGGAAAATTATGCATAGTTTTATTTCCAACAGGTACAAATCATAAAATGTGTTGTGCATTTGTTTCCTCCCCCTTTAACCAACTCCTTTTATAAAAATGTTATTTTTGCTGGACCTGCAGGTCTTCTGGTAGGGATCAGGTAGAGTCTGGGTTCAAAGGCTAACAGAGTCAGCAGAAACGGGTCAGAACCAATCAGAGCCCAAAAGTTAGAAAATTTCTATTTGAAAAAAAGTCTTAAAATCTGTGTTTTTCCGTTATCTTCTGCAGGCCAGTTAGTTCTACGTCAGCCTGAACACCTAAATTCAGCCAATCATATATCAACGGTCATCTGTCAATCAAATGTTTTCGGTCATAGCATCTTGATTCATGTGTCGCAGCTAATATACGCAACGGTTGAAATCAGAATCCTTTCCTTTCCCATTGAGTTGCGTCCCAGTGTTCACGGGGATGGACGTCTGTGTCTTCGGCAGGCGTAGAGCTAACAGAACTGGCAGCGTTGCGAGGCAAGGGCTCAAACATGGACGGCTGGAAGCCTTCTACACCAAACCAAGCTTCTGCCGCCCTGGCGTCCTCTTCCACAACATCTTCGTCCCCGCTTTCCTCCTCTAAATAAAAAATGGATGACGGAGGAGACTCATCCACGACCTCCCACACTAAACTCTCCTCCTCTTGCATGTTTCCTCTGTCCATAGCGTTCCTTGACAGCGTCGTTTCTAAGTCACCAATTTAGTGCTACTTGGTCCCAATGGAATTTCCCATTGGGAACCTGCTAGCACTAAGATGCTAACTGCTTAGCAAGCTGCTTCCCACAAACCGGCCACAACCAAAAGGCTTGCGAACCTTCCACCACAACAATCCCGCCCCCTTGATTATCGACCAATCACATTCACTTTATTCACTGGTGTAAAGTCGTGCACCACTGGGAGAATTCGGAAATGCAACGTTTGGAACAGCTGCTTCCCTACGACTTTAACATAGATGGCTTCCTTCACGCCCCTCTCAAAACACCACTGCTTCAGTTCATTTAGGGGTATCAAAGCAAAGGGGGCTGAAGCCTAAATTTGCTCAGCACTTTTATGGTTTTAATTCTGAGATGCGATTAAATCATGTTTGATTTTTTTTCCACTTCACACACTGCAGGATGTGGCGTTGATCTCTGACAGGCTAACATGTTTAACAGGAAGAATGGAGGAAGGCATCAGAGTTCTCTGCTGCCACCTAGTGTCTGCAGCAGAGTGTTGATGAGAATTTTTAACTCGCTTTGGGTTTTAATTCTCAGATTTATGCATATTGAATTTTTTGTTTGATCTTAAAACGATAAGATCAAATAAAACCGAGGCAGAAAAAATAGGAATAAAGTAAAGAAAAAACGATTAACTTTTATTCAATCCTGTGAATAAACATCCAGAAACACAATAAATTAAGCAAACGGCTCAATAAATTAGAGCCGTTTGCTTAAAGCGAAGCAGGAAATTGACTCAGATCCTCTAAAAGGAAACTTTTAGGAAAAAACAGATGAACTCTCCTATATTAACCCTTTCTGTGCCAGAAACATCTTTATTTTCTTCATTTTAACGGTTTTTCCGCCTGATAGACGTCGGCCTTCCTTCTCTCTTCCTTCTCTCTGACCTGCAGCAGGAAACATGTCCTTCTTGCTCACCAGCTCCCCTCCCCTCAGCATCCTGCGACCCGTCCTGCTGCCGTGTCCATGACTAGGACTCCTGGCTCTGCAGGTCCTTCCTCCTCTCTGGTTGTGGGTGCTTTATAGTATTGATATTCATTATGGAGAAAATGAAATATATGTTGTTTACTGAATTTCTATGAACTCGTTTGCATGACTGCATACCTCCCCCCCCCTCCCTTTGATTAATGAGGTGGGTGGGGGGGGGGGGGGGCAGCATCAGTGTATGTTTCAGAGCATGTTTGATCCTCTGTCTGATTCTAAGACCAGTTTTCTATTTATTAAAAGAATTTTGAAATATTTGTGTTTCTGTTTCTGACTCCTTACTGAAACAAACGTGCATTCTATGCGTTCTATATCTATCCATACAGCATGATTGAACTGGGGGAGGTAGCCGCTTCAGGTGGTCATTCAATAGGTCTGGACTTTGACTAGGCCACTGCAGCACATGAAGATGCTTTAAACCTTTCAGTTGCAGCTGAATCTCCGGCATTCTTCTAAGCAATGCATCACCACAGGATGATGCTGCCACTACCATGTTTCACTATATATATTTTAAAAAAAGGTGTGCTAAGCTTGCTAGGTAAATATAGCTTCATCATGTTGGTGCTGCTTCTGATTGTCACTCCTCCACTTTGGGTTATGATATTCTCTTTAGGTCTGGGCTTTGACTAGGCCACTGAAATGACTAAAGCTTTTTAACAATCATTCTCTTATGTCTTTTGGATTTTTGTCTCGCTGATGACCCACTCGGGTCGAATCGCAGCTGTGGGACCGATGACCTCCCATTCTGTGTACGTGTATTGATTTATTTCAATAGGTGGCGCTGTAGCCTCCGTTATGGTCCAGCATTTAGTGGCTGTTTCAGAGACTGCAGATGCATGAAGAAATCTGTTTTTGCAGCATGTTTAGAATTTTCATCTTTTTTCTTTGCAAGTTTTTGCCTCATTTTGCATTTGCAGCGCATTTGCACCTCTGCAATCATTGTTTAGACGTAACATTACAAACCTAAGTCATGCTGCCGAACTCCAACCCCTCCACACTCAGTGACCACCTTCCAGTAGCCCTCACCCTCATCATCACCACGCGCTTTGAGCAGCTGCTTCTAGCTCACATCAGAGGCAATGATGACGTCTACAGGGAGCAGGTGGACCGTCTGGCTGAGAGGCGCCACACAAACAACCTGCAGCTGAACACGGAAAAACCAAGCAGCTCATGGTGGACTTCAGGAGGAACGATGACCCACATCCACCCATCCACAAGGGGACAGGGGTGGAGCGTGTGGACAGCTTTAAGTTCATGGGAGTCCTGACCTGGACCACCAGCTGCTCCATATTCATCCAGAAGGCTCACCAGCGCCTCTTCTTCATGAGGGAGAACCATCTGACCTCAGAGATCCTCACCAACAGTATATAATGCTCTGCTTGGAGCAGAAGGTGTTTCAGACGCTGCTGGAAACAGCTCAGCGCATCGCCGGGGCAACGCTTCCTGCCATCAAGGACATCTACAGGACGTAGTTTCTGAAAAGAGCCAGAAAATCACCAAAGACTCTTCTCACTCCTGCCTCTGGGAGGCGCTACAGACACAGCAGGAACACAGACTGACCTCACATACATTCATGGATCCAACAACATTTCAATGCACTTCTCAACTATAGCTGGATTTAATCTGTAAACCTTTGATCTGCTATTTCTTAATCCTGTATTATAACCCCACTAATATATATATATATATAATCCATATCCTAACCTTCCTGTATAATCTGTATATAGCTTCCATATTTATTTATTTTCTAGCCTTTTCCAGTTATTCTCTGCTTATATCTACCATCCATGCATGCATTGACATCTAAATAAACATTTCTATCCTGTATAGAACCTCTGGATAGATGCAAACCTCATTCCGTTGCTCTGTACTTGTGGCTGAGTAATGAGGATAAGTTGAATTCAGGTTGAGGCGTCTTTCTCTGGGATGGGATGTTTTTCTGGGAACAGGGCCGTTAATCAGCCTCCAGAGTTCTTCACGTCAGCGCTGGGAAGCGTTCCTGCTCCAGACTGAGTCACACTTCAGAGCTTTCTCCAGCCCTTCGCTTTTATCTGCTGTG